GCAATTATATATATATGCAAATGTAACATTCTGGTTAGTGAACATAACAGAGCACAGGTGGTATTTTATTATTCTTGAAATGTCTAATATTTAGTGTCACAGTAACTAGGTCTAAAATATTAAAGTTTATATGCTTTTTTACATTGTTGAATATCAAGTTTTTACGTATAAATGTACATCAGTTGTAATAAAAGGATATATATATAGTCCAATGAATTACGAAAATTTCTGCACAATGAACATCTGAAATTAAACTAGTTTAACAGTAGTGGGGTAAAATTAAATGATTTCAATTATTTACAATAAGTGAACGATAGAGAGTATCTCAAACCCAACAGTATTTAATCGTAATTATTAAAACGGAAGTAAATAATTAAACACTTGGATATTAACCACACTCTAAATGTGGCTGTGCTTGTCCAAACAAAAATAGGTGGGGAGGGGAATGGTTCGATTTTAGAACTTAATGGCTGGAATCAAATGTCCTAAACATTAAGTCACCATTCTATATTGAGTGACTGCTTCACTTTTGCCAGTCATGAGTATAGTTTAATTTGATCGATTCAAACATGAACTAACTGAAGATTTTATTTCTGTTTGTACTGAACATACCAAGGTATTATATAGTTTGGTCAGATAAAACACAAAATAAATCAGAAATAGAATTAAAATAGTCTTACAAAAATCAACTGAAGAAATCCTATCAACTTACCAAATTTGAAAATATTAGTTTGAACTGTATACAGTATACTATGGAATTAGGATTTCCAATTTTCTTTAAATGAGATCTCTTTTTATTGTCTTTATTTAATTGTTATTATTAAAACTATTTTTGTATATTTGGTCTGAATTTTGCTGATGTATCTCTAATTTTCTAACGTAAACTTATAATGAATAGGAGTGACGTGTTTGTAACAGATATGAGATAGTTTTGTTTTTATTTAAGCAATAATCAAAGTGTAACTTACAATTTACTTTACACATCTTGAGAAATTTGAAAGTCAACTGTCAATAGAAACTTGATTTCAATTTATGTAAGTGTACTTGAGATTAAGAAATCCATTTGAGAATTAACATTAAACTAACTTCCCAAGGAAAGAAAATAAATTATAAAATATCAAGAAAAATTAGGTTTAAACATACTACTTTATAAATAAATAATATATTTGCAATATCCCAATGAGTAGAAAAATTGGATTTTCTGACGTTTCGTGCCTTAAAGTAAGTCACTTTTTCAGAGAATAAATAACCAAATTAAAATTAATCCAAGTTTAAATACTAATTTATGTTAATCAGAAGATGATGACAGAAAACGTGTTGGTCGCGCAATTTCGTGGATTGGTTGATGTTAGAAACTATCACCATTAGATGCCGGCTCAGTGGTCCAGTTGGTTAAGCGTTCGCGCGCGAGACCGAAGGCCCTGGGTTCGAATCCCGCTCGCGGGATCGTGGACGCGCACTGCTGAGGAGTCCCACAATAGGACGAAACGGCCGTCCAGTGCTTCCAGGTTTTCAATTGTGGTGGTCTAACATCAATCGGTTCATGATCTCAATCAAAAACTTAATTTTATAACCCTAGTCATACTAAATAATCTACACCAGCACCCAGGCAGTAGCTTGGCTGTCGAATGAAGTATAAACATTTATGTGAGATATCGTCAGAGTTCTGTGTTATGGGTTGTAAAAAAATTAGCAAGTTATTTTTATCTTTAGAAAACGTGGATGAACATTGATTGTGATATAATTATTAGAATATCTTTCCATTAAAGAATAACTGTAGATAACTTAATCTCAATTAAACAAGATTGCTTTTTAGTGGCTAATCAGTCGATCATTATTCATTTATTTGAACACATAAAAATTGGTATAAGTGAGAACCAAATATGAATGCATCACACAAAAAAGACTCATAAAAGAAACTGGAACTAAAAATTCAAGTGTAAGTGAAACTATCTTGGAAAAAGACGACACTCTTATCTACTCCAAGTCCAGACGTTTAGAACGACGGGCGGAACATTTTAGAGAACAGTTCAGCTGGCCTTCAGCTACTCTACAACTACCCTCCATTCCCAGATAGTGTGAATGGAACATTGAAGTAGGTCCCCCAAATCTAGCTGAAGTTCAAAAGGCTATAGTTAATCTGCAACGACGAAGGGCAGCTGGTCCAGATGGATTGGCTCCAGAGGTCTTTAAGGATGGTGGTCCAATTTTAGCCATCAGGTTGACTAATATTTTAGCTAAAATCTGAGAGTTGGACGTAATTCCATCTAACTGGTCACAAACACTTATCGTCCCAATATATAAGAGAGGGTTAAAATCATCCTGTGACAACAATAGTGGGACTAGTTTGACTAACATAGCATCTAAATTACTAGAGTCAATAATTATCGGTCGTCTCACTAAGACTCGTGAACTGCAAACACGAGAGAACCAAGCTGGCTTCAGACCTGGTCATGGCTGCATCAACCACATATTCACCATTCGTCAGGTTCTAGAACATAGGCATACTTATCGGCGTCCGACAATGGTGGTCTTTCTTGACCAGCTGTTTGAGCATAAAGGTCGGCTCTAAAACTTCTTAATCGTCATGCCTCCCGCGAATACTGATGAAGTACAATTGTACTAGAAATATTGTCGTCCTCTTTTTCATCTACGTTTGTAGACGACGACGACGACCTAAAAGCAGCATTTGACTCTGTAGACCGCGAAATTCTGTGGCAGTGTCTGTCATTGAAAGGCGTACCCCAGAAGTACACAAACCTTGTGAAGGCTTTTTACTCGAACACCACTAGTCGAGTCACAGCATATCGTGAACTGTCATCTGATTTTGCAACCTCAAGTGGTATGCGTCAGGGCTGTCCACTTTCTCCATTTTTGTTCAACTTCATCATAGACATACTGATGGAAATAACGCTCTCGTCGACTGAGTTCTCGGGCAATGATCTCCTACCAGCAGGTCCACTTATCGAATTAGAATACGCAGACAATATAGTCCTGTTTGGTGAAGACGCTGATAAAATGCAGAGTCTTCTGGTAGCACTGAGCAACAATGCCAGGATGTTTGGGGTAAGCTTCTCTCCTCCTAAATGCAAATTGTTGCTCCAGGACTGGTCTGCGTCAACAAATGAACTAAAGATAGAGAGTGAAGTAGTCGAACGCGTTGACGTTAGACGCAAGGGTATTAGGGAATGATGGTAAGTCAGTTGATGAGGTTGTGAATCTTCATCGACTGAGATGGTTGGGCCACGTGTTACGCATGCCTGAACACCGATTACCACGACGTCCAATGCTAACCGGTGTTGGAGATGGTTGGAAGAAAATGAGGAGCGGCCAAACCAAAACGTGGCATCAGTCCCTGAAGTCACTAACTTCTAGTCTGAGTCATGCTGGGAGATGCAGACTACTTGGTCGGGGTCCGCGTGACTTTCGTAACCAATGGTTGCAGACTCTGGGTGACGTGGCTCAGAATCGATCACAATGGCGTCGGTGTATACACTCTCTGTCTTCCCTTAAACTATGAGATTAAAATCGCTTCATATCTTTCTTTCTACGAACTAATTCTTTCTTCCTGTACTATATCCTTATTGTAATCTTTTCTTTATATATTACCACCTCTGAATTAATTACTTCCATGAATCCGTTGTCCATCTTTTGTTAACGAGGTATGGCAACTTGGACCGATGCATGTATGTGCCTGGTCCTACGTTGTAGCTGGCTGACTGAAAATATGATTGGAATAATATAGAAACAGGGCTGTACAAATATGTAAAATGAAGTATATGGTGCTTTGATGGTACTACTTCACTGTATTCGACTTACGAAGTCTAGTTCACAAAGTATTGAGGCACAATCAAAATATTTATTGCAAAGTAACTGCCAAACGCAAAAGTAGGTTTATACACACACACACACACACACACACACACACACTAATTTTTCGTAATTCTGAAATCTACTTACAGTTATTCAGTCAAACGTAATGTAAAACACCACTTGTTCGAAATAAGAATCACTAAACGACTAAATCTCACACTAAATATTTTACTCACAGTTTGGAGATGAGTTTTTCATCATCCCTGAGTTGGCTTTATACATTATAACCGTTTTAACGTGTAATTATAAACTTCACATTTCATATACTTTACTCACTGAATAAATTATTAACATTGAAATACTTGTAGATCATATTATTTGTGCTACTTGAAACGATGGTAGTTTATTCCTTTAGAAATACATTATTTGTTATAAGTAAAACTTTGAAGGAATCTTGTTAGTTAGTTGTAAATAACTACTATTAGATTAAAATATTATAGTACATTTTACACAATGTGGCAAAAAATATGATGGCATGTTAGTTTTGTTTCCCAATCTATAACATAACAGACAATCATTTAATTTTCAATTCAGTCTGTTTAGCATAATGATCATACAATATGAATGAATCAGGGCTTTCCAGATACTTAAAATATATTTTACATCAAATTTTTATCATACCTACTGGGGAGTTGAAGTTCTACCAAACAACAAAAAAAGATTCAACTTAAATTGTGTTAAGTGAAAACCACTGAATGTACTCAAGTATGTGTTGTGATATATATATAATGCCCTCTAGAAAATTATACAACCGATGGTATTTCATTCTGAGGAAATGTAAGTCATATCTTGACCGATCATGTCCACGTATGATCTGGCTAATTTCTGACCGGCCAACAATTAATTACCTTATAGTTGAGTTAAATTAATCAAGAATATATAAAATTACATTTTCTAGTTTGAATTAAATGATGTGTATCGGGAAGTTTTCCAGACAAATAAAGTTGTTGAAATAACTTTGCAAACCAGAAACCAAATAGTAATAATATCTACATATCCTGCTTTAAAGATGTCTAGTCTGCATTGGAAAGCTTCACTTATGTAGACTGAAGCAATCAAATATTAAAAACACATATTTACGACTGGAATTCAAAATATTTCCAACAACATCAAAGCAATAGACTTACCATTGGAATCATTTGTACTAATTTTGCTACTTCACTCGATAACATTTCATCGACAGCTTTGATTAGTTTTGGTTGTAGCGCAGGAAATGTTCTAAAATCATGTACTTCTAAAGATTCTTGCATTCTGTTAATGTTAGGGAAATCACCAATTGATATATGTTGTGTACGTGATATGATGTCGTATACTTTGGATAAATTATTGATAAGCTCCTTTTTCTTAGCATCTTTACCAACGATTGTTGGCATTTCTTTTTTCAAATGCGAAATAACATAAGCATGAACCTAAAGTAAGGAGAAAATAGTAAATGAGAGCATTTAACAAACATCTGACATATCCAATATAAACAGTATCTAATAATATACAAGATTTAGTATGGTTTAGTATTCTAGAAATTGAAGATTTTGTATGAATCCATAGAAAACATAATCAATGCCCTCTAGAAAGATTACCCAGCTCATTTAATTATTGGGATTGGAGATATATGACACATTACTCATGAAGGATGTAGTATACATGACATTTCTAGTGCTAACCAATATGTAAGAGTTAACATACAGATAGGATTTATAATTTAATGACTTTCATAACTAAATATGGGATTTCTATAGTAGTAACAAGATAGTCATTAGTACTAATATTATATTATATATGTTAGGTATCAATGGGATAGAAAGCGTTCTTAGGAATTCTTTTTAAGAAAACCTCAATTGACTTGGCTAGAAAAATGATCTTAGAAATTTAGGAATATGAGTGTGCTCAGAATGAATCATTCAAGTAAGTCCCAATAAAGATAAAATATAGACTCTGGCCTTTGAGATTACTTTCAAGTTATAGTTTTTTTCTAATTAACGTATACATCGACCATAGGTCTATTAATAACAATTTTGCCTAACTGAAGTTGAGTCCCATACATCCTAATTCGATTACAGAAGCCGGGTAGCACTACATACAGTGTGGCTGGAAGCAAATTACACTAATCTATACTTGGTGAGATACATCACAGACAGACTGACGTGAATTAATTAACGAACCATAATGATTGGTACAAAACTTTATCAATATTTTCATGACTTCAATCAACGCTACAAATTTACAACTCATGTTCATGCGTGTGTTGTCAAGATCTTGCCATACGAGATGAGGGGTCGGAAAATATAGAATACTAAGGTATTATGACCAGTAAAGCCATTATTCTATAAAGCTGATGACGAAAGGCTTTAGCTTTTGTGGTTCAAAATCAATCTCAGTGATAAACATACTTTCATTTATTCAATTATTATGCCTCCTAATATTAGAAATCTTAATACTCCATACCCATACGATAAAGAAAATATATTGGGAAAACGTTCAGATACGATGATTGGGAAAAAACTTGGCATTTTGTTGTAACGGAACGAATATTGTAAAAGTTGGAACTGGATTTCAGGATTACTACTGATTATAATTTCGCTGTACGATTACTGAGTAACTAGAATATTAGCCACATGAATTTCTTTAATCACAGGCTTTCGGTTAACCCATTAACTACTGTTATACTACTTATATTCCTAATTTGTTCCCAGTCTACTATTTACAGTCTACCCTATTCACATCCGCTTTTGGTTTGTTTATGTGTGATTATTTTTTCAGTTTATGGTGTGATGTAGTTCGGTATGTCCGTATATTAATCACATCTGCCTGAAAAATAAATATAGTGGAGGTTGGCTGTTATTTCTAACCTCAAGGCGGAGGCTAAAGAAGAGCTTGCGAATAATGAGTCAACAGGAGCCTAGCTACCTGCCTAAGTTCAATAGCACTGGTCGGGTTTGTTATTGCCCAAATCAGAGATACTATGCTATAGAATAAATAGCAGACTAAATTAGAATTAGGATCCTGATTGGTGATCCGGTACATGATAATCAGGGATCCTCAAAACATAAGTTTTGATCTATCTGCAACGAAACCACAGTAAGATGAAAGTTCAAAAGTGATAATTTGCACAAATGACAACAAAATACTTACTTTGGCAAGACGAGCACGTCTAATGAAATCATTCAATTTTCTCAGAGTACCATTTGCAGGTAGAGTAGCCAAATCACGAAACAAATCCATTTTCTCTAATTCAAACAACTTTCTATTGGTATCAAATACTAACTGACGGTCCCAAAAACTACCAATATATACACGTGCTACTTCAGGTGTATTTAATATTTTTCCTAAACTCCACATTAAAGCACCATACACTCTCATAAGTTGTTGAGAATCAATTGTATCTGCCTTATTTAAAACAATACGTATTTTGTCTTCGTTCGACTAAATACAAAAAAACAACAGATGAAGATTTTTTTAAAGTATACGTATTGCACTATATTACTGAAGAGTATTTTAAACAGAAACACCAGGTATTTTATTTATTTTTAATATGCATTCAACGACTACAGCTAACAAAGAAAGTTTATGCACCCATAATAATCGCTTATTAGACCCTATGACTGGGATTTTCTGTTTTATAGACCAGTCTAGGATCACATTTAGATGTGTACTATATATATATATATATATATATATATATATATATATATATATATATATATATATATATATATATATATATATATATATATAACCAATGGTTGGAGACTCTGGGTGATATGGCTCAGAATCGATCGCAATGGCGTTGATGTATACACTCTCTGTCTTCCCTTAAACTAAGAGATTAAAATCGCTTCATATCTTTCTTTCTACGAACTAATTCTTTCTCCCTGTACTATATCCTTATAGATGAATCTTAGTATCCGAACATATCCATTCAGACCGTATAAGACAGGAATAATAAGTTGGTTTTCTGACTGATTGTTTAGTAACTAACGTGGTAACACTTGAGTACTGTTTAAAATTTACTTACTCAAGGAACTTCTGTATATTGAGATAATATTTTGACAAAATAAAATTCTCAATCACACCGTGTGGAAAAACTCTAAATTAACACAAAAATTCATACACGGCTCTTGAAGAAACTACATAAACACTAGTAATTTAACACATAAACAGTGTGATAAAAAAGCTCTGCAGAAAAATGAGTGTACGATTTGTACGACATTAACTTCACCTCAAACCAATAAAATAACTTAAGTCAGTTACTCATTCAGGTAGTTAGACGCGATGTGCAGCCCGGTACGTATGTGCATCAGTCCAAGTTACAATACCAGAGAGATAAAATTGTCACATTAGGTCCCAGAATAGTAGAGGTATTAACGTCACCTATGACGAAGGCGAGATATCTGTCTATCAACAAAAGGACGAGTATACTGCGCGGCAGTCTGTTCTGTTTTAATTTACGGCAGCGAAACATGGCTATTAAGATAAGATACTCGTAAGCTACTAGTATTTGACCACAAATGCCTTAGAAATATTGCTGGCGTCTGCTGGGATCACCGGGTAAGTAATAGTGAGAGCCCCTAAATGCCCTGGTATAGCCGAGAGTGGGAAGAGTCCGCTCTCCCTCTCGAAATCTCTCACTTGGCCACGTGTATAAAGCATCTCCCAGGGAAGTCCTACTCACTGCTTTCTCGCACCACGGGTGTTGATTACGAAAATGAGAGAACGGAAAGCGAATGTCCTGCGCCTTAACCGGATCCCAAACCAATGGTGCACATGGGCTCCAGTATCCTGCGAGAACAAATGGCGTATGAACCAATTGTTAGTCACCGGCTACCATGGGACTGCATCTCCTCACGATGCTCCACTGCCTTGTGGATCAGACCTTTAGGTCGAAGGCTCGGGGAGTGGCCCCCTAAGAAAACCGCCTGCTTTGGTTTGGGCACCCGGGCAGTATCACAGCCCTCACACATATCGAATGAGATTCGTGTAGCGCATATATATTTGGTGCCTCCTTGTACCAATATCTATGTGTTAAAATAAAATAAAATATTAAGGAATGATGGTAAATCAGTTGATGAGGTTGTGAATCTTCATCGACTGAGATGGTTGGGCCACGTGTTACGCATGCCTGAACACCGATTACCACGACGTCCAATGCTAACCGGTGTTGGAGATGGTTGGAAGAAAATGAGGAGCGGCCAAACCAAAACGTGGCATCAGTCCCTGAAGTCACTAACTTCTAGTCTGAGTCATGCTGGGAGATGCAGACTACTTGGTCGGGGTCCGCGTGACTTTCGTAACCAATGGTTGCAGACTCTGGGTGACGTGGCTCAGAATCGATCACAATGGCGTCGGTGTATACACTCTCTGTCTTCCCTTAAACTATGAGATTAAAATCGCTTCATATCTTTCTTTCTACGAACTAATTCTTTCTTCCTGTACTATATCCTTATTGTAATCTTTTCTTTATATATTACCACCTCTGAATTAATTACTTCCATGAATCCGTTGTCCATCTTTTGTTAACGAGGTATGGCAACTTGGACCGATGCATGTATGTGCCTGGTCCTACGTTGTAGCTGACTGACTGAGTATGAGTAGTGAATGGAAAGACTAAGGGTCAAAAATACGATTCATTGAAATACAAGTTAGTGAAATAAAAACACAGAAAAAAGTTATAATAGATCCAAAAGCTGAGAATTCGGGGTAAGACAAAGAATGGATGAACCTGAGCAACTGCAAAGATTTTGAGCCATGTCATTCAAGGCTTCTAACCATTGGTTAAGGTAATTACATAGACCACAACTAGGTATTTTACACCTATTAACATGGTTCAGTTTAATTGTCAATGAATTCAAAGATTGATAGCATGTTTTGGTTTGACCGCCTCCAAAGACAACGTCGACAATCGAGGTAGGCGGTAGGTGGGCATACGTAATGCATGTCACAACCATCTAAGTTGATGAAGATTTAATACCCTACCAACCGATTTGCCATCCTTACCTAATGCCTTATTTCTAAACCAGATACTGCCTACTCGGTGGTTCTAAAATACACGGGCAGTGCTCCGAAAAAGCCTATGATCGAACACTATTAACCCACGAATATCCTCTATTCTTAATGACCATGTTTCACACTCATAAAGTAGGATGAAGCGAACTGCTAAAGCCAGTTATTACTGACATGAATGGGCATAGATTGAAGTTACTACCTTTCGTATTAGCACAGTAAGAGTAATTTTAGATGGTGGTTGGAGGTAGTCAACAGGAAACCCTGGACCCGGGTTTCGTGCTACTTGGCACTCGTCAGCAAGATGTATCTGCAATCTTGAGGGAACTGGTGCTCCCCGGCGGATTCGACCTCGTGTCACCCAGCTTCACAGTCAGAGACGTTACCACTGAGCTATCCGAGCCGCGACTGACCTCCTGTAGGACTGAGATGTAATCACAATTGATTGACCACTGCGTGGTGATCAATGTCATGCTTGTCTAGTCCCCGTTAGTGCAGATCGAATGCTATCGATCATGCTGCAATGTGGCCACTAGTCTAGGTGACTCGACACTGCGGGCACTATGTATTGAGATTTTAGATGGTGGTTGGAGGTAGTCAACAGGAACACTGGACTCGGTTTTCGTGCGGTTGCGGCTCGGATAGCTCAGTCGTAACGTCTCTGACTGTGAAGCTGGGTGACACGAGGTCGAATCCGCCGGGGAGCACCAGTTCCCTCAAGATTACAGGTACACCTTGCTGACGAGTGTCAAGTAGCACAAAACCCGGGTCCAGGGTTTCCTGTTGACTACCTACAACCACCATCTAAAATCTCAATACATAGTGCCCGCAGTGTCGAGTCACCTAGACTAGTGGCCACATTGCAACATGATTGATAGCATTCGATCTGCACTAATAAGGACTAGACAAGCATGACATTGATCACCACCCAGTGATCAATCAATTGTGACAGTAAGAGTAAATCAACAAAATGAGAAACATGTGCATGTAGTGGAGCAGCTTTTTAATCCGAATCGGTGACTGAAAGTTGAGGAGCCTGAACCACCAATCCACCATAAATCCACCGTCAACCATTAGGACTCAGCAGTAACTCGATCCAGAATGAGAGGACTTTCGATCGAACCAAAAAACAGTTAAGATAAATTTAGATTAGAAATAATAGGATCGTATGAAATGAACGCTTAAAACACACTAATTTCGAGTAACTAAACAACATATAATTAATTCGTATAAAATACATGTCGGTAATAACAGTAACCAAATAGGCACAAAAATCAATTCCTTTTATTTATTATGTTGATTTATTTTGAACTAACCAACCCTCGACATATTAAATGTCAAAACATTTCTTTAAAAAAGTAAAAGAAAATGAATCATCAGAAATAAACAAATTAGATGTAATGTGCTTCAATCAAAATGAAATTTTCTGTCAATAATGATGTACAAAAAGAATTAAAATCACTGGATGAATTCACTCTGAAACCGTTGAATAGACGGTTAGAGAATGTAAATGAAGGGGAGAAAAGAGTGACAGGAAAACGAGACAAGTTTTTTTATGTGTATTTATTGGGTCATGAATGAATTAAAATGAATACCTGAAAAACTAAAACACTTTATTGAAAATGGGAACAGATGGTCAGAAATTTTTAAAAAAAGTTCAAGACATGAAAGATTCCCAAACTATTAGCATCCTAAGCTAATTTATCGAACGGCTCTTATTCTGGTTGTCTTATTCTATATGATTTTTTCTCATCTATTCGCTGCATCGCTATTTCAGCTTGCATGGTGCACTTCATTATGTTCAGTTCTATGTAACACCTTTTTTTCAATAAAATAACGTATGTTTAAAGCTATTATCACAGAATGTGGAGAATTTTATGCAATATTAGTTGATAAAGATTCCGTAAAGTTATCTAAACCAAAATATATTTATATTCGGTGCCATTAGAACTCTCCGACAAAGCATACAATTATAGTAGTGAAAAAATTCGTAGGTACTTAAAAATGAAGCGGAGAAATTTAAGTCTGAGTTCATAAACATTTGCAAAAGAGCAAAAATTCAACTGACTATCGATAACTTGAATTATATATCTCATATCAACCGCTTTTGGTTGTTTAACACCAGACCTGTCAAATCAACACGGAATTCCCACATTCACAGACTATAATAAGTGCTGATGGCCAAATAAGATCACATCAATTTTAACCGGGTTTCCGGTTTGTAAACAACATGGTTATATAACCAGTGATCAAAGGATGAATTAACTTTGTTGTAATATCATGCTCTGTATGTTGGTCGTCGTTAAAAGTCGCTTGCGTAAGGACATAGTACATATTAAGGTCTTTTAAATACATGACTTGATATTTCAAAAATATCTCATATGAATAATAGTAAATATGGAATCTCGGAAGGGGGACTATATACTAGAATGTTGAAAAAAACCAAAAGTAATCAATAATTAGAAGAGATGAAAATAGAGAGGAGTAAAACTTGAAGACAAATGAACTAGTGACCCGTTCCGGGTTCAAACTTTAAGAACAAACGTCACCTAGCTATAGATTATAATTATCCTGCGTAGTGGTTTAAATTATTTGCGATAGGCACAGTAATGCCTCAGAACACAATTGTGTCTTTAGCTAAAAAATAATCGTTATATTATCGTAGCTAGTCTGATCAAGAGATAAAAGTTTATTGATAAATTAAAAACACATCGACAGTTTAGAGTCATGCATTTCCGAAAACAGTTTGAATTTTTTAAAGCTGAAACCATTAAATTTTTTAAAAAAGATAGAGGAATGAATACATCTACGTTAAATGGACTAAAATTTATTTGTCTTGCAAACTACTAGCTTTGGATAATTTGTAGCCCCGATGAAGCTTTTCATTACCAACTAAACAAAAACAAATGTAAAAATACATAAGTGAGTGTATCCAACTTAGTTTTTTTCTCAAAACACAAGTTAATATAATTAGCATTCAAAAACTAAGTGACCAAAAGAAACAAGATGTAAGCAAGACGGAAACCATACTATGGAGCTGGGACGCCATAATGTCTAATTAAAGGTTTTTGAAATTCAAAGTTGAATTTAAGCATCAAGATTACGTATGATCAAATTTCATATATACATAAGTCATATGAGTAGAGTGCTCGTAATCTAACATAAAGTCAAAAACAACAATACTAGGGGTCCATGTCTTTTTACTCCAAAATGTTACAAATCTAATCAGATTTCACCGTAACATCCATTTTCACATAAGGCTCACACTTCGCTACTGTTCACTGAGGGATTGAAAACAGTAGTTTTATTCTAATATCAACAGCCTAACTTTGACATACATACAAGTAACTCATGAAGAGTTCCTATTGGTAGAGTAAGATCTGATGTAACAAAGTACACTCTTCTGACATATTCGCGAATTTCGTAACTTTTTAAAAAAGTGACCACTTAACATTGAAAGCGGTCGTTCAGAATAAAAATGGGGACACAAATCCTAGCATGAACAACAAGCACTTATCTCGAAATTAAGTATTTAGCTGACCACTTTGGTTCTGCAAGATTCTGGGGAGATTTCGGAAAGAATAATACATGACTATAAGTGCAACGACAAAAAAAGCTAGCTTTACCAAAATATCAGAAAACCATACCTTTAAAACTTCGATGACCCGCCGGAATTCATCCGATATATCCAGTTTATGAGCGTCAAAAAGCAATATGATTCTATCTGCGCGCTCTGCGAACCACTCAATAACACCTGAGAAGTCGTAACCACGATCGACACGTTGCTTCTCGCCACTCAAAATACCAGGTGTATCAATAAACGTAATTCCATCCAAAACACCATTTGGCATGTGTGCACACTGAAAACGATTTAAAAAACCATTTCCAAATTTAGAAAGAGGTCGAAATTGCTTTGAATAATCCATTACAAGAGCATTCCCAGGAATAATCCCGCTTCTTGAATCGTTCATGACAGCTATGAAACTATCTGTAGTTGGTTCGGACCTATTCGGATGCCAGGAAAATCTTCACCAATTAGGTAACGTATAAAAGTTGTTTTTCCAGTAGAATACTGACCAATAAGCAAAACCATTGGCTTCGACTCGAAATCGCTTTTTTCAAGTGGAGGTGAGTGGAAATCATGGAATTTGTACAAGGTTTCAAGTGGGAGAAGTTTTTTAAAGTACAATTTGCTAAGCCCGTCAATCACATTGGCATAAACCTCTTGATCCTTCGGCCTGGAATTCTTTAAAGCGCTTAACATCGCGGAATTTAAATGGTGATCGTACTCCAGAGAGCCTCAAGGTTGTCATTCACTACACAAAAACGAAACCACAATTAGATATCTATCTTGATAAAACATAACTAGCCACTGGATCTCATTAATGGGATTCGTTAACACTATGTACTGGGGCTTGATCCTGTGTCAGATTAAGGGCTATTCTAAACATATGTTTGAACTGTATAGTCAGTTACTATGTTAAGTCCACATAACTTATTCCAGCTTCTGAACAGGTCAATTTACCCTTTCTTCTTGAGTCACGTGTTGAACTTATTAGTTATTCACCTATCAACCCTGAATGTATTTATATAAGTGCATGTGTGTGTACGTCTCATCCTACTCATCACATTTCTGTAGCTTATTTTTGTGCGACTATAAATATTGATTAACGCTTGATAAAAAAAATCAAGTTGGCTAATATAACTTTTCCAGCGCGCGTCGTTTAGCTTCTCTTCCTTTTCTTTGCCACCTTCGCTCCGTCCCTCTGACTATCTGTCCAGATCAATGAGTGTAGAAAATATATATATTCAAAAAGCTATTCCCGTATTTGGGTTATATAATTCCGTTATTCACTAGCAACATTTAAGTCGATGATTATGTACGGGAATTGGCAATATATATTTCAATAACGATAATCATGAGATTTAAGTGGAATCGGATTTCGCGCAACCAATGTGGTGAGCCCGTCGGTAACATCGTCCGACCTAAATAACATCAGAATGAAGGCCACAATAAAGAAAACTACCGAGATCACAGGAAACCCTAAAAGGATCAAGTCATTATAAGATATGGTGAGTACCAATAATGTCCACAAATTACACAAAATAGGACAGAAAATGAATCTCTAAAGTGTACAGTGTAGATAGATAACTAATTTGATGGATAGATGGTATTTACTTCATTCAATATTGCGTGTTTAGTGCAACAAGATATTCTCAAGATATATAGCGCAATGGTAGACAAGTATTGTCTGAAAGTGTCGTGAAAATGACCTTCTTAATATTCATCGAACTTCCATGACTCAGTATGCGTTCCATAGTCAGTATAAATCTTTTTGAACGTATCAAATGCGGTTTGCAAAGGTAGAAATAAAAAGTCATCGTAAATGAGAAACTTTAAATTTTTGAAGCGACTGAGGATAGTCGAGGTTGAGAGTTGAACGGATGTGAAGGACGAGTTGTCAGACGAAACTGACTGACAGTTATAATAGTCGCCTAAGGAAGATACGAGATATTTTGAGGAGAAACATGGTCAGGCGTATCTCGCTCTGAATAAACTACTGGATTAAGGTTCACTTAAATATTCTCCATTCGAATGACAGAATAGGTACATTTCAGACAAGAACAACGGTCATACCAAAAGTGAACTGAAGAAAAACCGCTTTTGAAAATCTACACATAACTTAGGGTTACGAAGGCTCAACCCCGAAACTAATAATGTACAGTAAATTCAATCATGTTAGTGCTTTTTTAGCGAGTTAAGTTGGTGAAGATGTAAGTTGAGCGCAGTCGAGTGGAAACAGGCTTAAATGAACGTATAGTGTTTTGAAGCCTAGCCATGTAAGAGCTTAAACCCAAAATCATTAAAAAAGCTGAAAGTGTGTAGTGGCATTAGACCATAACCACACAATCTTCAAAGCTGAACACAACACTACTCGGAAAATAGATATTCGATATTTAACGCGGAGAAATACCTAGGATGGAGAAGGCGCGAACAATGAATTGAATGGACTGGGTTTGATCGGATGGCATGGCTCGGCCATGCAGGCGTGGTCCATCTCAATGTTACTTTATATCTTCTATTCATATTAAATATATTGTTCTTTCTCTAGCCTAACCTTGTTCTACATCATGTATTGGTAATTGATACGATACAGTGAGTTGGTGTAGTCGATGGTGTGACTTCCACGTAAGATCTTATAGATTAGGCAGTTATATCATGACAAATCTACAAATTTAGGATTAGGTCTATTATTAGAGCAGTACTAATATCATAGTAGACCATAGTTCTACATTGGTGAGCCCAACTAAAGAAACGCAACCTATTATTGTTAATCCTTATTTCCACCTTAACCTTCTCAATCGGTTTTTATTTTTGTAAACCCAGTATTCTAATAGTCCTTTGATTAATGGTCACATATATTATCGTAATGTTATATCTATTAGTTCACATAACTTACTAGCTCAATCGATAATAAAAGTTGATCATCTATATCAACTAATTAGCTTTGATGGTTCGTTAACAAGCTTTAATAGCTATTACATGCTTCAGCGACATAGACTTGTTTAAACATCAAGCTCTAGCAAATATGACCTGTTAATAGCGTAAATATACATTGACTAACAATGCAATCAAGGATTGAATAGTTATCTGGATCTAATTCTTAGTGTTCCTTCGCTTAACACCTCGTCCTGTTTTAAACTATGCACTATCCTGTAATATCTTTTCTTCCGACCACTGCCTGCCTAATTTCATATTCTCGAGTTCCATTGCCAAACAACAAGGGTGACACTTCTCCAAAAAAATACGGTGAGTTCCAGCTATAAGTTTTCTGCAATCATAAGTTCATTTTAGATGGCTCATTCAATGGCACACACAATTATCTGGATTCATTCAGTTGTTCTGATCAGAGTGAGTCCCAAAAACCTCGACAGCATCAAGCACCCTGGAAGTGATTGCCATACTGCATGTTTTATTCTGGATGCTTTTGGATCATTACTACTCACGAATGGCGTTATATATGTCGTCCACTGAGTAATCTAATTTTCAAAAATAACCCAGGCGAGTTCAACTATTTTACTTAATGATTTTTGTACTTAACATGTATATGTTTTCTAGTTGCTTTTGCCATATATTTGTAAGTGTCCCTAGGCTAAATGCATTAACTTCTTACGGAATGTTTATAACGCGTCATATTCCTGCCTGAAGTTTCATAAGCAGTCTTAACTTTAAAATTATCTTTCTGATCATGTTCATTATTTTCAAATTGTCATATACGTCAACAACCTGCATGTTAACCTGGCCCATACATGCGTTGCACTATATCTTCATGTCTTCTAAATTTAGAAATCATTTGAATCACCTTTAACATTTATCGATAAACCCATCATAGTCGTTGTTGCTAATCGTATTTGGGTTTATGGATTGGTTTATCATATTAGCAGCCTAAAATGCGAACATAGTTTAGATAATAAGATTAAAAATTTAGGTACTATCAACTGCACTAGTAAAATAACTAAATCCCAGGTAGCTGTTGGCTAAACAAACGTTTAAAATCAAAACTCCGTAGCCTACTAGAATTAACACTAAACGAATATTTCTGAATTGAAATTTATAATTAAATTAGGCGTCTCGGATTCTTTAACGTTATAAATTTCTGATAATTTCGAATCACCTAAAGCAACAATACCTATTTTTCCACTGACTAATCCTCATTCAACACTATAACTAGTTAAACATAATAGTTTCAGGATATCGTCATAAAGCATTGTCATGACTTGACAATCACGTAATATGATTGATAAAATTAATGAAACTATTAACAAAATCGGTCAGCAAATTGACTTATAATTATCACTAGTGTTGTTTTTCTTTTATCTTCATTCACTACAGATGATTACAGTATGTTTCTCTATCAGTTGCTCATTCAGTAAATATCTCAAAACCTTGTCAGTCTAATTGATGGTTTAGCGACACAATCATGCATGCAAATAATCAGTATAAGCAGTCGAGCAAATCTCCTGCAAACTGAAAACATCAATGTCGAATTTACCCCAACACTGACTAAGGTTCAAGCCATTATCATAGACATGAGTTGGGAGTGTACTCCCCCTGGTTACAACTTATGTTCTCCCTGATAATCACATGAGCATCACTCACTATTAATCATCTTGTAAAAACTTATTTAGCTAAATACATCTTGCAGCACCACATCACTTCGTAATATGACACAGGCCTAACTGATTTTAATAACTTATAACCACTATATCTCAATTAAATCGTATTCCGCCTTATGATAAACTGCATACTTGCAACTAACTTGTATGCCCAATCAGCCGGCAAGTATAAATATAAATAAATAGTCTGCCACAGATCAGAACATTGAGTCTAGAGCATGTCTCTTACGAATACACTCATGTTTAACGATTTGTTCCTAGCTATCTGTCCAAAATTCATATAATTATCACTCATGTATTTAAATTTTTTTTTGATAACCATTCATGTGTATTAGTAGTATTACTAAATTCTATCACGGTCAAGTAAAAATGAGGTTGAGAAAATCTCCCCGTAACTAAATAAACCGTATCAAACTAACTGGAACACTAGTTGGAATTCTTCTCCACGGTATACTTTTGTTCCTTCAGTTAGCCTACTAATACAGATGCAATTGGAATTCAACTCATATGGACAACTTACCGGCATAATCGTTATTTGATTTCATAATTTAAACCAAAACTAATACCAATATTAACATTTCTACAATATTCATTACTTTAATATTTCTAAACACAAAATAATTACTGCCTATAAGTTAAGTTATTAACACGCATCGTTTTATTATTATTATTGTAACCCCATTTTTTATAGTTCAAATAATCTTCAACCAAATTTTCATTTTAAGCGTGTTAATCATGAAGGCAGATATTTTAAGATTATTACATGTATTTCCCGACCAGATGCTGCCGCCTTCTTTTTGATTTATCTTTCAGCTTACCAATACCCGGAGGATTCTTATTATCCTTGGTAACCTCCGGCGCGCGACGATCCCATCCAATTTGGTATCGAACCAACATCACGTTGATTCTGGTGGGAGAGTAGTGTAGTGGCATTGGACAATAGCCACACAATCCACAAAGCTGTGAACACGAGACTACTCAGAAAATAGATATTCAATATTTAACGCGGAGAAATACCTAACGATGGAGAAGGCGCGAACAATGAATTGAATGGACTGGAGTTGATCGGATGGCATGGCTCGGCCATGCAGGCGTGGTCCATCTCAATGTTACTTTATATCTTCTATTCATATTAAATATATTGTTCTTTCTCTAGCCTAACCTTGTTCTACATCATGTATTGGTAATTGATACGATACAGTGAGTTGGTGTAGTCGATGGTGTGACTTCCACGTAAGATCTTATAGATTAGGCAGTTATATCATGACAAATTTAGGATTAGGTCTATTATTAGAGCAGTACTAATATCATAGTAGACCATAGTTCTACAAGTGTCATTCCGTAGACGACTTGTGCTGCAGTATATCAAACGCCGGTTTTCACTTCCTTGAGAGTATCAGTGGAGAGAGCGTCAGATCATTGTGGTACGTTGACATCCGGAAGTGAGGCTTTCTGCTGTCAATAGAGCCTGTCCACTGCACGGGTAGCTCGTGGGTGATAGGTTTTTCGGAATCGTGCGAGCTCTAGGAGTGTAGTGAAACAACGAAAAAGTTCAGATTCGATCTAGCACCAATAGCCTGTAGTGGTGGTCGTAGGGTAACAGAAGTTTTCTAACAATTGTTCGACGACGGCGCTAGCTAATGTTTCGGCGGTTATGCCTTTGATGGGTACTGCTCATGGGTCACACACGCTAATAGAGAGGAGTATCCATCTGAATTTAGTGAGGGTCCTAAGACATCGGGATGAACATAATTGAAACGAGCTTGCAGAGTTGTGAAAGAGCCTAAGGAATGCATGCTCTGTCCAATCGCTTTAGGATTTGGCACTTTATTCAGGAGTGTGCCCATTCCCTCGTTTATTTATTATTCCCAGGACAATAATATCGTCCTTAGATGAGCTGGATGCTTACCTAAGAAACGTATTGAAGACGCTACGTCGATAATACTTCGACACGATTGGGCAATCCTCACTCGTAAATCTGTCACACAGCAAAGTTTCCTGATCCATTTCCACCTGTTCGATCAGTAGTTTAAGTGTGATTGAAGATAATTCTTGCTGATGTTCAGCGTCTTACTCTTGAAGCTGGACGAGTTTAAGAAGTTCAAAAACTTGGAAACTGTTCAAGGAGATTGCACTGGACAAGGCATCTGTCAGCACATTATGTGCCTCAGAAATCTGTTGTATCTTCAGTCAACAGCGAAACGTGGTCCAGGTGTCGAGACTCTCGAGGAGAGTACTAGTTGGAAGAGTCAAGAGAAAGCCTAATAGATTTATGATCGGGAAACAGAGCGTATTTTCGGCCTTTCACAGAGTGTTGAAAGTGTCGTACAGCACAACACATGGCTAGGAGTTCCCTAACAAAAGTTCCAACCATCGATCCAGTGTTTTGTAATCGTCTTCAGGAAAATGTGAAAAGTTGCCAGGTGTTGTTCACCTATTGTTGTAAGAATATTCCTATTGCCTAGTCAGATGTGTCTACAGCGTCACTAATAGATACTTTGATGAAGTGCGTGGGAGCATCGTTGCTTTTGTGATAATTCCTTTAAAAGTGAAGAATGCTCCCATATGCTTTCGTTCGAATCGATGAATTTCGCATTTCCACGAATATGATCTTTTAAGGGTCTCATGTTAGACGCGCGAATTGACGTGAACCGTTGAAAAGAACTCAACTGGCCGACGAACACACTTAGTTCCTTAACTGTGGCTGGTTTAGGATAATCCAGAATGGTCACCGCTTTGCTTTGCAGTAAGTGGATATCTTGAGCTTCATTAGCACGCCGGAAAATGTCCATGACGTCAGTTGCAATCTGGATGCTCGGATCAATGTCATATTTTTTTGGGTCGTCCGAAAACAGGGTTCCGGTGCTTGTGCTGATGTTCCCAGTCCGGACTTTTGATCAGGTAGCCATCTACATATGCACGTCCGAAATTGAAACCTCTAAAGACGTCGTCGACGAATCTCTGGAAAGTTTTTGTAGCACATACTTGAGCGGAAGGCATGCGCAAAAATTCGTGAGTCCGAAGAAAGTGACGATAACGGTTCTAAAGGCAACGTATGAAGCCATAGGAGTACGGTTATGTGGTCCAACCAGATCAACTTTCGGAAAAACAGCTGTGCCTTTAAAGATAGCTATCAAATCTTTAATTGGGAGTGAACAGAAACTATGTGGAATGGTTTTCGTACTCAGTGACCAATATACACTAGTTGGTCAACAATCATTGCTGTCCATTTACGGGCCATATAGAATAGAGACACGCTTGGGCTGTTCAGTGGCCGAATAATTCTTGCGTTTATTATGTGATGAAATTCCTTAATGGCCTACCATAGCTTTTCGAGAGATATTCAGCAGTTCTTCAAAAATGCGGGTCTTCCTGTTGTGGTGATGTGATTTTAAGATTGCAGGTTACGCGCAGCGATTTTGGTAGTTCGGGATACCTATCCAGAATCCGTTGATAGAATGGGTCGACTTTGTGTTTATTAGTGACTGGAGATGTCCAACAGCCAGAAAATAAATTTCCAAAAACACATAATTGCCGTATCGCTGTCTACTAACCTTCATTTTTACGTAATGGTGAGTAGATTATGATGTTGTAGTAGATCCATACCAACCGTTGACATAGAAACACTCGTAACAACGAAAAACCAATGAATGAGTTTGCGAAAAGACATGTTAAAATAAACATGTAGTTTACCGCATGTAGCAATGAACTTGCCGTTTGTCACCTTGAGTTGATAACTGGTTCATGCAGGTGGTCGTTAAAAATTGCGGGAAGAGCTCCTACTGTTTCGTCAGTGTAGATGAAATAGCAAACTTACGTCACCACATCGGTGATATAAAGTAGACGGCAATGTTTGCCAGCTACGGTTGACATTAACATGTGCCGACTGGAAAATTTCTTGTTACATTTTTCATGTCGACGTTTTGGAGCCTGGAAAACTACAGGGCTTTGAGCATTTGAGTTCATATATTGTTTGGTCCACCACAATTCCTTCAAGTATACTGAGTAATTTTCACAATATTCGAAATGAATATGAACATAACCGGTTTGTGATATTTGCATGAAAAGATTGAGAAAATCAGTCAAATTTAAAGCATTCTACTTCGTTTCACGGTCGATAGAATTGAACCATTTGGACTGTTTGACCTTCAAGTGCTAAATAACCTGGCGCGAACACTGTAAGTGGGAACACCTTACGTGATACAGATATGTTTAAGGCTAGTCAATTTTTAGAGGGTGTTGTACTAAGGTTATGACACTATATCGTATAGCAGATTAAGTTTCCTTCTGAAACTTTTGTCATGAAGTTAATACATATCTATCGTGAACTGACCTTTGTAAATATTCTATAAAAGACCATATCATTTAACCTTTGTCAGTTTTCATCTCCTGGTCAGGCTAATTAAAATACAAATACCTAATTTACATCAGACACATCACCTAATATCTAAACCTCCGGTCTCTAAAGCCTCTCTGCTTACCACAGTTACTGATTTTAGTACTAAGCCAGTTAATACTTAACGACAACTATGTACTCATTTATTCGGTTTATTTAGACAAACTCTATACTCGCCCAGCTTTTAATTATGGCTGATAACCCCAGTAAATAGGAAATATCTCTGATTTCTGAACCAACCAAAAGGTCGAAATCTGTAGTCCCTATATCTGACGAAACAGTACTTGGCAAAGTCAAACATTCATCTTCTGAACTCTGTGCCTCTTATCTACAGATATCACTACTCGATTTTTTGAGTGGCATTCCGTCCATCTCTTTGTGCGTTTGGTCAACAGTAAGACCAATTTCGGGGAAGCCGCTATAGAAACTTTTGTGGAAATGATACCAAAACCCCAAAATTTTCCCTTTAACCTGGGTGAAGGTCATTTGACTTTGAGAATTTCCCCGAAATTTCACAAAATAAAAATCTCACAAACTGCGGCGTTTAATATTCTGACACCAAAATACTGATTTCTATAGTGGCGATACAAGGCAGATAGGAAACTCACCTGCTGAAATTAACAATAATCTTAATCAGTTAGCATCATCCACGCACATACGGGCTTTAAATAATAATAAAAACCCCAAACACTTCACTAAAACCGAATGAATCATTCGGTTCGTGGCTGACGAAGCGACGAAAAGAGTAGTGTCTTCCTACAATGTGGTCGCCTACAATGGCACTGACCACACACCCCACCAAGCTAAGGAATATTAGCCCTCGAAAGTGCTGTGCTGAACTTCAGCTGCCAATTCGTTCGCTATAGAAAAAAGTTGGATGAGTCAACATGCTCCCTTGTTTAAATTTAGCTGTTGTAACGATGCTAAACAGTTAATAAATTCAAGTAAAAATATTAGTTCGTTTATTCCATGTAAAACGTAAGAGCCACTCAGAGATAACACCCTTGCCAGCGTCGTGTAAGAAGACGGAGAGTTGGGATCACATGATAGAGTTACAGCAAATAACCGACTAGAGACAACCTCTAATACTGTGAAGAGTATCAAACACGTTTATCATCAGCGTGATGTGAATACACAGACGACATGTTACTCTGAAGATTTAGATGAGTCTACAGATAAGAAAATTTCGAATAAGATAAGGAATCAACAGAAGAACCCAGAAAACATAGCGACATTTACGATTCTAGTATGGACTGTTCGACTAGTAAAGTGCTTAAATATAAGCCATATGATGAGACGTAAACCAAGTCGATTTTCAAAAAGACAGACGTACGCTATGAGGTCGTGAATAAGTGGTAGGGAATTGTGAATAAGTGTCGTTCTCATTCTGATTCACCGATAATCACCAGTTGGATGCTAATCACTTGTCTTTTCAAGGGACTATATCCAAGGGTGATGCCTATGGACTGTTTGATGATAGGGTACTTAACAAGTCTACCAAATGCTCGAATTTGTTTATTGCAAATCTTAGCACTTTGGGAGTTAGTCCGTGCGCTTTCGAAAATCCAGGTGGTCCTGTAGTCGTGAAGTGGTATGTAACATTTATGATCACACACGGTAGTTTCAGTTGTGTTTTGTAATGCTCAGGGTACTTATCGAGTGTGTGTTGAAAGTATAGGTTGAATGTTTATTCATGACAAAGCCCATCAGTGATGTATAGCAAACGACTAAATTCATCAGTCACAGCCGCTGTTATCGTGTGGCGGTTAAAATGTTTCCCGGAAGGTTTGGGGTTGACAAAACTGCAGAAATTCTCAGAATGTTTAGAGGATTTACCATAGGTGTTTTGGTACACATGCACTCAGGATTATCTGTTCCTCGTGGTCTCGATGAGGACCTTTCTCGTTACGAGTTTGTTTGAGGATTTTCGGAGCATCTGCCTTCATGATTAACGTTGGGAAAACGATTAAGAGTTCTATAGAGATCCGTAATGTCATTTATTGTCATTTGGGGCATTTATTGGTCAGAAAAAACCTCGATGTTGGAAGTTATAGTGATCTCCATAAACGATCAGCAGATGCAGTCTGTCCATTTACGATGATATTTTGGAATGAGACGACAGCCCCTTGAACCTGCTAGAAAAGCTTAGATAAGTTATCTAAAGAGGTCCTAGTCGAAAATTCATTACCCAATGACCTACCACATACGTAACAACATCCCTGTTATTGAGCTGTATTGCAATTCGATATGCGGCGGACCAGTACAAATATGAGAATATCTTGACTTATTTAATGCTCCTAAACGTATACAAAGATGAGTTAATAGAACACAAAGAAGTTATACAAAATATATAAGAATTACTTGCTATTTTTAGAATGGTGTGTTTACGGGTCCGTGACTGATATTGGTTAACAGTTGTTTTGCGTTTCATCTTAACCGTAGAAAAATGGCCTTTGCTCTGCCAACTCTTGCCGTTACATCTGCATCAACTTCTTGTTCATCGATGGTAATGTCTAGGTACATAAAAGTTTCTAATTCTTCGAGAGTTTCTCCATCAAGTGGGATCGGGTTTAGGGGAAGACAAAGAGTGTGTACACCTACGATATTGTGATCGGTTCTGATCCATGTCATGCAGTCTCCAACGACTGGTTACTATGGTCGCGTGGACCCCAACCAAGTCTGTATCTATCAACATGGCTCAGGCCAGAAGTTAGCGACCTTTAAGGACTGATGCTACTTTTTGGTTTGGCCGCTCCTAAGTTGTGACAAGAGTTGCAAGCAATAAATTATGTCTAGTAACAAAGCCTGAAAGAACCTAGTAAGTGGTAAATGCTTGTTTTTTTCTCAAAAGCACTAAAAACATCTCCGTAAACACTAAACACTCATTTATTCACTTACTATAATATATTATTTAATGCCAAATTGAGAAAATGGAACTCAATAAACACTAAACGATGGTTTGTTCATTGAATGTCTTCAAAGGTTGGATTGCAGTTTGATGTTAATGTTGCGGATTAAATTATCTGGTTCCAATTCGATTTCCAGATTGTCTTAATTTAAGGCTTGTTTAGTTGCTGATTGCTGTCTATTGCTTTTCTTACTGGATGTAAGTGCACTTTGTGTTCTATTTAGCATCCTCCCCTAGCACCTATACTACCATCTGATTGTACGCAAACCGCTGCAGTTCTGTAACTCATTCGAAGCCTCCAGCTATCAACCTCTAGTTTCAACTATCAGCTTATTAATTCTAATGGTTATCGATTGCTTTCAATGTTAAGTGTAAGTGCATGCTATATACCTCCTGAGCTGTCGACTCACTTCTGTTGTTATTTTATTTTCCAGATTCTCTGCTCCCCACCCACGCAGCTTACAAGGTACCTTCAGGCTAGATACAAACCTACCAAAGGCTGAATGTTTCAAGTCATATGCCTCAAGGTTTGTATCTATTCTATCTAGCTGATAACTCTCTATTTAAGAGAATCGTATTAAATTTTTTTGTCAAGAATGTGATCCGAAAGTCAACAGGATATTAATTACAGTATATAAAGTACCATGCAGTGCAGAAATTATATTAAGGTATTTGGATTTGACGAATACTGACAAAAAGTAACATCATTTTTGTACAATTCGTTTGATTTACCGTTAATTTCGATACTTGATCCCGTCCCGTGTTTATCGGCTTGAACAATGGATCCTTGGATCTTGTAGAAGTATTGAAATCCAATTTAGACTGCAATATATCATTAAACAGAACCAACTAATGTAGCATATTAGAGAGCTCCAATGCTTTGTAATTCAATCACTGAACAAATCTGTGCATGTGAAAACGTTTTTAGGGGTTTTTAAACGCTTTTGAGGTGTTCTTAAGTTTTAGGTTAGGGATAAGTAACAATTACTCAAAAAATATGTTTCGAATAATCGTATTTTGGCAAACAACTACTTGTTAAACATAAAATGTCTGTCAAGTAACTCAAACAAGTTAAATATTCTTTACGAAATTCATAGCTCACCGAACAGCCTGGCTTTTTAAAAATAATTTCTTCTAATGTCAGTGCTACCATTTAACTGTAAAAAATAACTGATGAGTAAACCCTCAAAATTAAATTGTGTACCTAGGACAGTAAGCCATATTTTTACACCAATATATACAAGCACTTACAAACCATGGTAACTGAATATTTCGGTTTGCTTAAAGTCTCAATTTATAACATTCGATTTTCCTGTCCATGTGTTCTTTTTTGGTCTTATCTTCCCTTTCAGTCTAGAATGCCGATTTCTTAAACGACCTATGCTTCCTTATGATGTGTAAATATCAGTAATTCTTCGTATTCTTCCCTCATATTGAGTACCTCAAGAAACTACATACCTCTCATTTGGTTAAATAATATTTACACTTAGTAATTTTCAACTACTGAAACCACTTATCCTAAAATTTAGGATCAAATAAGGAAATAACATTGCTTTTTAGTTCTTATATTATACTATTTGACTCACTTAATCGCCTACTTTTATACCATTATAGTCTCGAGCTTTTCATGTTCTTTACATTGATTTTATGTACTTCAGATAACTCCTGCGGATATGCTGATCACATGCAAATTATATCCAACGCTGTTCAAGAATGGGATTCCGCATTTATTTCATTCACAAAGTCTTGCAAACACTTATATGAAAGTCGTAAAGAAAATAATCTGCTAGTTGATGTCCAACCGTGTTTTTCGTTTCCGATTCTAAACGAACTCATTGAAACACGCTTAAGTATTTCCATGAAATTAGCTGTTGGCAAATACCAAGAAAAATCATTCGATGCCAGAGACAAATTTAATCATTCAACGGATCATCTATTTTCTGCTCTAAATTCATTTGCCGAAGCCGTTATAAACCATTACGTTCTAAACAGTCGCCTTCCTAAAGTTGTCTCAATTCAAAACATCCTGAATGTAATAAATTCCTTTAAAAATATGTTGGCTGATGAGTGCGATGCAATCAGATTATTCCACTTTAAACAAGTTTTTGATGATTCATTTGACACTAACGACAAGTGGACCAATTACTTTCTGTCTAGTGATTCTCTGAGTAAACGTACTTGGTGTAATGATTTTATTGTACAGTTAAATACCTTGCTAGATTTTTTGATATAAGGCTGTCGACCTAACTATAGGTTTTATTTGGATGCAGATGTTAGTGGTGGTAAAGCCCTTGCACAAAAATAGCTATGGAATAAATAACAATACTTGGTGTGTTCTTTGAATTAGTCTGTTCGAAGGATGATAAGATTTATATGTGATCTTTTTTAGTGCATCTTTAATCGTGAAATTCAGTGTGGCCTTCTGTCAGTGATCATGAACATAGGACGTAGTACAATTGTGCCTCGGTCCAAGAGGCCATCAGCATACTGAAAACTTACTAACATAAATAGCAAAAAAGATAAACAGTAAAAACACCAACTGTATCGAGAAGAATAAACACGGAGGGTATGGTTCGAAAAGAGACATGTCATGTAAAATCTTCAACTATTGGAACCCTATACTTTTTCGCATTCATAAAATGATTCGGATGTTTGCCAGTTAATCCAAAGTTAGAGGGATTAGAGTTTGTCAACAAATCATCCATTTGGTCTCTATGAGAGAAAATGCAGGGTAATCAATATGAAATGAATATTAAGTGAATTTGTTCAAAGCCACAGATTCTGTACACTATCGTCACTTATTAGATTTCCACTCACCCTTTCAATGTAAGTACCAACCTATCTTGTCAGTTTTTCCCAATCAGTTAAAAATAACGTAGCACCAGCCATAGTATATCAGTACAGTGCAAAGAACGTAAAAAAGTAGTATTACAGGATAGCCGAAGGAGTAGCATTTACGCCGTAAAAACCTAAACATAAAATGTGGTTTGAAAAGAAGTAAGGTTCAGACCTGTGACTCATTGTTTTAGGTCATTAGTGATATGGCTGTATTATGGAAGCACGTAAGACGGGGTTGGGCTTAGCATGTTTTACGTTAAGAGTATTTAAGCTATACGAAAACCACATGTCTATTGAGTGTTTCTTCAGCATTATATTTTTGAAAGCAGGGTAACTTTCATGTGGACATTAAGTTTGTTTGTATGAAGTGTTCTTATTTATGACATTCTGAATCTAGAGCATGATGATGCGTAAAAAAGAGGAATTTCGCTTTCATATAATATATATATATATATATATATATATATATATATATATATATAGGCGGTAAATATCTACCTACCGTTTATTAATAATTGAGTTTTCAAACAACATCGCTTCACCCTAGTTATACCTGATGGATTACATCACATTTATTTAGCTTTAAGAGAGATTTCTCAGAAATTGCTGAACCCAATAAGGTTTGTATTCTTACTGTCTTGCTTGATCTCATTGTGACAAATAATAGTCTCACTATCGCTAAAAATAAATCATGATACTCTAAAGGTAAATTCATAAGTTAGTCACTGACTTCGCCTTACAACTCCTTTCATGAAATGAAGTTGTTTCCGTGCTCTTGTTTCATTGTGCCAGGGGTCAAGTTAGTTGTTCGGTTTATTAATATTTGCTTGTTTAGGCATCAGTTTTTTCTTAAGACAATTAATTTAGTAAGTACATAATCTTAGTCTTAAAAATAGCATCAATTTGCCTACTTAATAATCAAACTATGTGATTCGAACTTGTTCAGTCTACATCCATATTAAGACTTTGCAACTGAAGCCTAAAGCATCATATTCAAGCATGTACCTGATTGTTACCCCGACCGTTGTTGCTACCTTGACGTGGTGGTCGGGCTTGCCTATCGTGATGAAGCAACCGAGCTATACTGGCTGGAACAACCGTTCCTCAAGGTCCTACCATGTCAGACAGGTCGGTTGAAGAGCGGTAAGACTAAAAGCAACAAACCCAAGGTCCGAAGGCGAAGTCGTACTGCTGACTGTACAGAGGTGTGACAGCAGTAAGGTGTTTCCTTCAGACAACCAGCATGACAGCGATGCTGCCTTCCCACAAGGAGGGGTGGGGTTAGAAAAGGTCGACCCTAAAAATGCACACCTCGCCTTATCCCACGGATATCCGTCTCCGGCGGTAAGGTCTCAATAAGTACGGAGCTAACACAAAAATTACCCATAACAAGGTCGTGTGTGACCGACCTCAAGCAGTTGTCCCTTGGGCACTGCGGTCACGCTCTCAGTTCACTAAGACCACCTTTAATCCAATTTCCTTTTCAGGTACCTCCAGAACAACCCTTCCACGGTGTGGGCAACCGGGAAGTGATAACCGCCCTCATACTTCTAACAGCACTCAAGACCACTGTATTCATAATCAACCTCCTCTTCAATTCCTATTATTCCTCCTACATCGACTTTCAACTCTAAATTTCCCCTCTCGGCTTCCACCTCAAGTGTCACCATAGCCAACGATTCTAGTGCGCAAAACACTGTCCCAGGTCTACTGAAACCTCGCTCCAAACTACACATTGGAGCCTTCAACGTACGCACCCTATGTCAAATCGGTCAGCAGGCTTCCTTGGCTAAAACCCTAGAGTCTCTTACCATTGACGTGTGCTGTGTCTCCGAAACACGCATACAGGATTCCAGTGTGGTCATTCACTTGACCTCACCTCGGCAAGACGGAGAGCCAACGAGATACACCCTTCGTGTATCTGGTGACCCGATGGCAAGTTCTCGTGGACTGGCAGGTGTAGGCATAGCACTAAGCATGAGGGCCGAACAAGCACTGCTAGAGTGGATCCCCGTCAACAGTCGTCTATGTGCTGTTCGGCTGAACGGCTACGTAAGAACTCGGAAGGATAGGGACACACGTCGTTGCCTTTTTGTCGTTTCTGCCTACGCTCCCACTGACTGCAGCTCAGATGAAGTGAAAGATGAATTTTACAGAAAGCTGTCCGAACTTCTTCAGAAAGCTAAACGCTCAGACATAGTACTCGTAGCAGGTGATTTTAATGCTCAGATAGGCAGTTTAAACCAAACAGAAAGGCATTTAGGTGGATATTTTAGTATTCCGACACAGCGAACAGATAATGGTGATCGTCTGCTGCAGCTATGCTCAGACAATCGTTTATTTTTAGCAAACACAAATTTTAAGCATAAGGAGAGACATCGTCTAACATGGCGACCCCCTACACCAAACCAACGATGGACTCAAATAGACCATATTGCCATCAGTCATCGTTGGAGAGGGTCGGTAGAAGATTGTCGCTCATTCTGGAGTACCTGCTTGGACTCCGACCATGCCCTAATACGGGCACGCATCTGCTTGCGCCTCACTGGACGCAAAAAAGCCACATTAAAAAGACCCGTTAGAACTGAGTTGAGTAACGAGAAAACCAAAAGTAGGTTCCAGGAACAACTGAGGTCACACTTAGGTAGTTGTGAAGACGAGGCTGACCCAGATGTTGCTTGGAAGGGCATACAATCAGCTGTGGAAACAGCAGTGACATCTATTAGTGACTTAAACCACAGAGTTACAAGGAACCAGTGGATTTCTTCAAGGTCTGTCACACTGATGGATTCTCGCAAACTCGTCCCATCAGGTTCTGAACATGATGAAGAGCGTAAACAAATCAGATCTAGGTTAAGAAAAAGTCTAAGGAACGACCGTGAGCAGTGGTGGGTAACGAAAGCAAAAGAGATGGAAAAGGCGGCGACTATAGGGAACACAAGACAGCTTTACAGACTAATAAAAGAAACTGGAATTAATAAGTCAAGTGTAAGTGAGATTATTTCGGAAAAAGATGATACTCTCATCTGCTCCCAGTCCAGACGTTTAGAACGATGGGCGGAACATTTTAGAGAACAGTTCAGCTGGCCTTCAGCTACTCTACAACTACCCTCCATTCCCAGACAATGTGAATGGAACATTGAAGTAGGTCCCCCAACTCTTGCTGAAGTTGAGAAGGCTATAGTTAATCTGAAACGAGGAAGGGCAGCTGGTCCAGATGGATTGGCTCCAGAGGTCTTTAAGGATGGTGGTCCAATTTTAGCGATTAGGTTGACTAATATTTTAGCTAAGATCTGGGAATTAGACGTTATCCCATCTGACTGGTCGCAATCACTTATCGTCCCAATATATAAGAAAGGGTCAAAATCATCCTGTGACAACCACAGAGGGATTAGTTTAACAAACATAGTATCTAAAATACTGGCCTCGATAATTATCAAACGCCTAACTAAGACTCGTGAACTACAAACACGAGAGAACCAAGCTGGCTTTAGACCTGGTCGTGGCTGCATCGACCACATATTCACCATTCGTCAGGTTCTAGAACACAGGCATACTATCGGCGTCCGACGATGGTGGTCTTTCTTGACTTAAAAGCAGCATTTGACTCTGTAGACCGCGAGATTCTGTGGCAGTGTCTGTCATTGAAAGGCGTACCTCAGAAGTACATAAACCTTGTGAAGGCTCTTTACTCGAACACTACTAGTCGAGTCAGGGCTTATGGCGAACTGTCATCTACTTTTGCAACCTCAAGTGGTGTCCGTCAAGGCTGCCCACTTTCTCCATTTTTGTTTAACTTCATCATAGACCTATTGATGGAAATAACACTCTCGTCGACTGAATTCTCGGGTATTGATCTCCTTCCAGGAGGTCCACTTATCGACTTAGAATACGCAGATGACATAGTCCTGTTTGGTGAAGACGCTGACAAAATGCAGAGTCTTCTGGTAGCACTAAGCAACAATGCCAGAATGTTTGGGATGCGCTTCTCTCCCTCTAAATGCAAGTTGTTGCTTCAGGACTGGTCTGCGTCAACACCTGAACTAAGGATAGGGAGTGAAGTAGTCGAACGCGTTGACAACTTCACTTATCTTGGAAGTCTGATCAGCCCTAATGGGTTGGTGTCTGACGAAATCTCAGCACGGATTCGTAAAGCTCGTTTGGCTTTTGCCAACTTACGTCACCTTTGGCGGAGGCGAGATATCCGTCTATCAATAAAAGGACGAGTATACTGCGCGGCAGTTCGTTCTGTTTTAATTTACGGCAGCGAAACATGGCCCTTAAGAGTAGAAGACACCCGTAAGCTACTAGTATTTGACCACAGATGCCTTAGAAATATTGCTGGCATCTGCTGGGATCACCGGGTAAGTAATAGTGAGGTTAGACGCAGGGTATTAGGGAATGATGGTAAATCAGTTGATGAGGTTATGAATCTTCATCGACTGAGATGGTTGGGCCACGTGTTACGTATGCCTGAACACCGATTACCACGACGTGCAATGCTAACCGGTGTAGGGGATGGTTGGAAGAAAGTTAGGGGCGGCCAAACCAAAACGTGGCATCAGTGCCTGAAGTCACTAACTTCTAGTCTGAGCCATGTTGGTAGATGCAGACTACTTGGTTGGGGTCCGCGTGACTTTCGTAACCAATGGTTGGAGACTCTTGGTGACATGGCTCAGAATCGATCACAATGGCGTCGGTGTATACACTCCCTGTCTTCCCTTAAACTAAGAGATTAAAATCACTTCATATCTTTCTTTCTACGAACTAATTCTTTCTTCCTATACTATATCCTTATTGCAATCCTCCTATATATTACCACCTCTGAATTAACTACTTTTATGAATCCGGTGTTCATCTTGCTGTGCTAATGAGGTATGGCAACCTGGACCGATGCACATATGTGCCTGGTCCTACGTTGTAGCTGACTGACTGACTGACCTGATGTTACGTTGCTGTCATAATGTACCAATTTGATAACTGTCCTGTAGATCCAGTTTACTATTTCAAGCATAAATCACTTTACATTATCCTGTGGTAAACCTATTAAAATGATTAGTCAATTGTCTTCTAACGGTTAAAAAAAATAGAGAATTCATCTGTGATGTGTTTTATTATCATGTGAAAAGTACAACAGAAACAAATTATTTTGATGGTTTTGTCGTCTGATGTATTGTTTGTCTGTTCACGTTTTGTTTTGCGTAAGCTGCACTTCTTAAAATATAATTTGTTTGAGTCTCTGGCTTCTTAGATCGCTCTAAAAAAAAGAACAAATGGTAATCACGTTGAAAACATCTTGGTTAGTAGACAGTATGTACAAATATAAGACGTTGATTGTCATTGCCAAATAGGTTCGATAAAAAGTGTGGGCTGATTATTAGGCTATGTTTCGCAATCTTATGACGCTGTAGGACTAAACAGATATAAACATTCAGTAAGATAGTTTGTGAGGATAATGTGAAACAGAAATGAGAGAAATCTTCAACTCAAACTTTCCGTATATCTCAATGTATTTTTCATCTGAGAACCGAAGCTCTTGACCCAGTTTATGTGTGGGATTTTGGAGTTATAATGCTGGGAATTCAAAAAAAATTGGGTGTCTAGTCTAGTCTGGTTCTCAGTAATTCGGCAGATGGCAAAGTCAATTTGAAAACCTGTATACTATTTAGAGACAAATTTGGATAGCGTCATAACAAAATATATAGAAAACGATATATTGAAACAGAAGAGTAATGGTGGGATAAAGAGTTGAGTTCTCTTAAGATTGTGGCTTGGAGTTATGGATCAGGCTCTCAAGTGTTTATGTAGTTACCATTCAATGACTATTTCAGTTGAGTAAATCTTGTGGTTTGGCTAACTCACGCTATGGAAGCATAATTCACGGTCTCGAAGATGATTCTGCTAACCAGTTAAGTGGGCTTTTTTGATTTACTGTTTTTATCCTTGTCTTGGAAACCGATATCTCTGCTAATGAGTTTGAAATAATATTTTTGATGCTGGGTCTTTTGGAATTTCTATTCTTCATAACTAGATGTTCCAAACCCGAAGACCCGGATAACTTACTGGTCAACAAAATTCCCTTAGTCTTTTATATGAAAACTAGGATAGTGTGCTCCCAAATGCACTGGTACGGCCGAGAGTGGAGAGAGTCCGTTCTCCCTCTCGAAATGCTCTCACATGGCCACTTGCATACAACCACTGCCACGGAAGTCCTACTCTCTGCCTTCTAGCACCACGGGTGTTGTTTACGAAATTGAGAGGACGAAAAGCGAATGTCCTGCGCTTCAACCGGGTTGGTGGACACGGAGAGTTTACCTAGGGTAGTTGGAAAACCCCGATTCAAAACCAATGGTGCACATGGGCTCCAGTATTCTAGAGGAACAAATGGTGTATGAACCAATTATTGATCACTGACTATCTTAGAACTGCATGATATTGCTCCACTGCCTTGTGGATGAGACCTTTTGGTCAAAGGTTCGGGGTGTGACCTCCTAAGAAAACCACCTGCTTTGGTTTGGGCATCCGGGCAGTATCACAGCCCTCACACATATCGAATGAGATTTGTGTGACGCATATGTATATGGTGCCTCCTTGTACCAATATTTATGTGTTAAAATAAATAAGGATAGTGTACTTATCTGTTAAAAGAGAGAAGCGTTTGATCAAACCCTGAATTTATAGTTAGCTCGTATGGAAAACCACTACACATACTATTCAATGCAAACGATATTTGATTGTGCATACACTGAACTGGGTTGGCCATGTTTGCACAATTGATTTATGGATTGGATTAAAGCTAATCAGTCGGAGACTGATTTATGAACGTTTATTGTAATCCATAAACCAAATAAAAGGCACTAGAAAGATATCACATCATAATATTTAGAGGTAGATCTAATGGCTTTTACACTAGAACAAAGTCTTAAGTAAGCTGTCAGTAGAACTTGTTATGAAGCCAAGATAACCATTATTGAAAGAAACGAAATTCATACTTCAATAAGTAGCCAAATAACACGTAATCGATCGATTTACAACCAGTTGTGGTTATTGATTCACATTTGTTTACATCTGTTAGTTGAGATAGGCAATCTGTTATCCTTTTTAATTACATTCTAACATTAAATTATTGACTAATTACTGTTAAGTACTATCAATTCGATTTACTTATTGATCGAACTTTTAAGATAACATACCACATTGTATATTTTGATGTCATTCTGATCAGTGTTTAGTGCAAAAAGAAGTCTCCGAATACAGTCCCTCATCTTTGTTTGCATCGAATTATATTGGTCTCATTTCGTAACAAACATTCATAACACTAGCAGTATCAACATTGCACATAGAGAAGAGTAAAGACACAATGATCAAATAATGGTGGTTTAACATGCGTCTAAGTGGTTCAAAAAACAATGAATTCCAAACTGTCTAATTAGATCAGGTGCAGGTCATTCATCCTTCTCTTTCTAAATCTAATGGTAACGGGTCATCTCAGTGATTTAAGATCAGATTTTGTAACCTTTTGTATAGAAGTGATCTAGGGCGAATGGGAAGGTCTGTTGAAGTCTAAACCACGGGAAAATTCGAGCTGTGTATTCAAAGACATATCAGTGAAACTACCTTGATAACATCGATATAAATATCAAGAAACTTTTGATTGAAGATTTTTTCTTTTGATCTACTTAATCCTCACATAAAGAAATGAGATTAATTTCTAACCAGGGCATATACTTTTGATAATCGTCTTCACAACATAATATTTAAAAATAAATGTTTGAAACACTGAAATTAGTGGATCTAACCATGTACGAGATCATAGGATCTCAATGCTAAAAGAAATAGTCGATACCTTTCAAAAGACTGTTTAAAGCAACTTCTACTTACTTATTGGTACATTAACTGTCTGACCAGGGATATTCAATCTTGGTAATCTAGATGAATGTGCAGCAGAACAGATACGAACTCTTTTCATTCTGGTTGGTTCTGGAAGAAAAAGCGTAAAACAAAAAATGATAAAGCCACAGTCCTTTATATGACTGAAAAACTATGGTTTTGTAATGAAACATATGGGAATCATGAACTGTATTGAGTGGATAATTTCAGTCTGCTAAAATATTTCATGTTCACCAAGGTTGTGTTGTTTATCTGAGTTCTATATTTCGTACAAACAGGCGACAATGTAAGAAAAAATGAAGTTGCTAATTCTATTAAAATTTAAATTAATTATAAATATGACTGAGTTGAACAGTGAGTTTAGTACTAAGGTTTTCATCCAAACTTTTAGGTGTCACAACGATTATGACTGACCAGTTATTGATTGCTTTGTGAAGTTTATTTTCATTTTTGGCAATTTATTTGTCAAATGACACGTAACTCTCAATTAATGTCTTTTGACTGAATATTTTGTACCTTAATACTGGCCTTAAGTCTTCATTATTTATTCAAAAGCTGAACTGGTCAGTGATTGTCTTTTGAAGTCTATTCTGCAGGGATTTCGGAGGCCATTCCATGAGTCATTAAACTGCCAACTTATTTATCCCATTATTCAGATCAGCAATTTTAGATAAATCATATAACATTTCATATGAATATCTTGCAATGGATAAGCATGAAAGTTCAACATTTGCCTATACCAATTCGTTCGACATTATTTGTTTTTACAAGCACCTGGTATTTATTCGACCATCCTAATTTCATTTTATCTATACTATATCTTTAAACATAAAATTTAATTTACTTAATATGTTCATCTTATGAAGAAGGTTCCTTCAGGTGTTTTGGTGCTAGGAGTCGCTTAATTAACTTTTTCACATATAAATAATCACTTTCAACAATTGTGTTTCATAAATAACAGAGATTTAAATGCAGTATCATTTTATTCAACAAAATTTGGCTGTTGAACTGGCTGTCAATGAATTGAGATATACCATCTTTATTGCGCCTCGGCATTAGTTTACCTCTCTCTTCCAAAACTACATTATGGTACAGATAACTATTCACATTTGGTACTAGCCTTAGTAGGGTAGAAGAATATAGGTTATACTAAATATAAGCAAAGATGGATAGTGGCTAGCAGTGGAATCCAGGACGCGCGTTTCGTCCCGTTTGGGACTCGTCAGCTGGATGTACCTGCATCTCAGAGTTGATGTTCACTCTGGGACTCGAACTCAGTACCGTTCGCTTCAAACGCCATCGCGTTATCCACTTAGCTACTGAGTCCTGATAGCCACTTGCTTGTGCAATGGGTTGAAGTTTAATTCACTTGATATTGTTTTACTTGAATCTTCCCATTGATGTTTTAGGACTGGAATTGATCAGTCTCTTATTGGCATATGTGCATACTGTGCGTATGCCAATAAGAGACTGATCAATTCCAGTCCTAAAACATCAATGGGAAGATTCAAGTAAAACAATATCAAGTGAATTATACTAAATATAGTTTATAATTCTTTATATGGAAAAGTATAAATACGATTTTTAATTGTATATTGTTTAATTTTTGACTCCTATGCTAAACACAATATTGTACATTTCTAGGTTATAGTAAGAGGTTTTAGCTCATTGTGTATGCCTAAGTTGACTATTATATTCGAAAATATGAACTTTACAATTTTAAAAAATACTCAGCCTTTTTTAATAGTAATCAGAAATTATTTCCTAAGAAACCATTCAGGGTAAACGATATCTAATTGGTGTTGGCCTTTTAAGCTGTACAGTATAATGGATATTGCTTGGAAAAAGACTAAATGTTGAGGTAGGATGTTATCTCAGTCTTCTATTGTTAATAAAAGTTTCAAAAATTCCTAATTTGCCGGATTGTCGGTCGAACTTGTCAGCTTCATCCTATCATAAAATACTTATCTAAACACTGTTAAAATATTGGTTTAATTTCAAAAGAAATCCAACGTAGCTGGGAAACATAAGGGAGAATATATGGATTTAAAATTCCCTAATTTGTTGGTTTCCACAAAGTTTAGCATTAAATTTTATGGTAGGTAATTCTAGTAGACGTTGTAGCAGTTTGCATAAGTTCAAATAGTCAATGGCTACTTCTCATGATTAATAATGTACCGGTAACTGACTTTTTGTTTATAGACGAATATACATACCTCCATCTTGTTTGCTGAGTATAGGATGTTTTGGACAATCATGAACAGAATAAATATCATTGTTTGGAACTGGTATGTTGGACCGTCGATGTCCTTGATGGATGGGACATTGAGTTGGTGACTGAGCCAGTTTTCTAGAAGGAAAAAAGAGTTGACAGGTAAAACCACTAACAAAATCCAATGTCTCATATTGAGAATATTGAACAGTTTGATCAACCCGTTCAGTTACTACGTTTTTGATGCATGAAATGTAAAGTCGAAGGACATACTGTTTGATGCTTTCGGATTTGTTACCTAGTCAAACTTTTTGGCAAACACGTGCGGTTGTTATTCGCAGTATTATGCCCTCGTTAACAGTTATAATGCATTTGCTAATATACTGTTTAGTAGTTAAAATAAATACTCGCAAATAAGATTCTTTGCAAAAATTTGGTGTATAATGGTTCCCCATATAAGGCGTCATGATAAATATTTTAAAAACCAAACTCTAAAGTATTTGATAAACAGAAAAGTTATGAATATTTCAATTAAGAGAACTTGTTTCAGTGTACAAATATGAATGGATGTATGCTAGTAAGTTTGTAAACAACATAGCTTATCCTAATAACTGTCAGAAAGGTACTGTTTTTCAGTGGATACCATCAGTCTCCATCAAAAGACTGACAAAGTGTAGATAGCCAAAACCATTATAATTATGAGTACAAATATTCTTTTAGGCTTTATTCTTTACTGCTTTTTCATAAGCTTAAGCTGGTTAGTAAAATGACATTTATTACAAAAAGAAATGGATCTTATTTATTAATATCTAAAAATCTATACTGGATCGGTAAGTATGCGGCTAATCATCTAATTTAGCGCTAATGTTTGTTTACAACACGTAAATTTTATACTTCATTCGGGTTTAAAGATAGCTTACTTCAGGTAGGTAATCACGGAAAACTACGAATTCTACATCTGTTTTCTGCTTGTTTTGAAATTATCGTTAGTACAGATCTACATTACGTAAATGATTTAGACTCGAGACTTTCATGTTCGGCTGTTAGCAAGATACATTTAAATCAATGAATTAGGTTTCTAGCGATTCACATTTTGAATCGTACTTAAATATATCTTCGTTATTCCTCACAGTCATCAGTAATCAATATAGAGATCACGATGCCCGTGAGTAGAACTGGATTTGAAATAAATAATCTCACTTTGTTAAATTTTATGAACAAAGTTCTAAGTTATAAGTAAACGTCCTTTTTAAGTTGTATAGTTAGATTGCTTAAGAAAAATGAAATTCTTTACGACGATTAGTTTTTACAAACTGAGTGAATGACAATTTCAAAATCCGATTTGTGGTCTATCTGATGATCGGTGTAAAACTTCTACTTTACAAAGTCGTTAGAGGATTTAGTTAGTTTCATCGTCCATGTATACCTTGATTATCCCACAGGATAATCAAAAGGCATAACCTTGATAGAGTTTGGAAAACTAAATTTTTCGTTTCCAAGGGAGAAATTAAAAGCGATTTATAGTAAGACAATCAAGATAGACTTCTTAAGTCAACTAAAAATACATTTTTGTTTTTATAAAACCAATTAGAATTCCATTATTTAAACATTTTGAATAAAGATTAAAATGATGCACATATTCATCAGGGGAGTTTGATACTTTTTTAAGTGTTGAATATTAACTAGCTTCTCGAACTCTATCTTGTAAAGCCATCCGATTTTATTGTTCTAAACCTGAAGGAAGTGATGTTACAACTTGATGTAATGTAATTATATGTTGAGTAAGTCTTGACGATATGATTTTCGCTTTCTGCTTGATATCCTTGAGATAAAATTTCAAACAAGTGTACATGGTTTATGCTCTGGTACGGCCGAGAGTGGAGAGAGTCCGTTCTCCCTCTCGAAATGCTCTCACATGGCCACTTGCATACAACCACTGCCACGGAAGTCCTACTCTCTGCCTTCTAGCACCACGGGTGTTGTTTACGAAATTGAGAGGACGAAAAGCGAATGTCCTGCGCTTCAACCGGGTTGGTGGACACGGAGAGTTTACCTAGGGTAGTTGGAAAACCCCGATTCAAAACCAATGGTGCACATGGGCTCCAGTATTCTAGAGGAACAAATGGTGTATGAACCAATTATTGATCACTGACTATCTTAGAACTGCATGATATTGCTCCACTGCCTTGTGGATGAGACCTTTTGGTCAAAGGTTCGGGGTGTGACCTCCTAAGAAAACCACCTGCTTTGGTTTGGGCATCCGGGCAGTATCACAGCCCTCGCACAAATTAATGATAACTGCTACTGACCTCATTGTTATTGTGTGACGCATATGTATATGGTGCTTCCTTGTACCAATATTTATGTGTTTAAATAAACAAATCATGGTTTATTAATGATATACAGAAATATATATATACATATATATAACCAAGTTTTCAAATTACTTTTTACATTTGCTAACTCTCGACTAAGTTCTTCTTGTTCTCTATTCATACGTTCTCTTTCTTCACGTAATACCGACTGAGATCTGGCTAAGATAAGATTCTGTGATCTGAATTTCATTCGAATAAATGCATATTAATGAATGAAATAATTAAATATTATCAAAACTATTTATAATGAAATATAATGCCATCGATGTTGTTATCAGTATTTATTAGTAATTATCATTGAAGTATATATGTGATGATATAATTCCAATATTTATTTGATAAGATCAGTAGATTATCTATATTTTGAATGTTTCATAAAAAAGTATTTCTAATAAATTCATGGTGCACATGGGCTCCAGTATCCTGAAGGAACAAATGGCGTATGAACCAATCGTTGGTCACTGGCTTCCATGGGACTGCATCTCCTCACGATGTTCCACTGCCTTGTGGATCAGCCCTTCAGGTCAAAGGCTCCGGGTGTGACCCCCTAAGAAAACCGCCTGCTTTGGTTTGGGCACCCGGGCAGTATCACAGCCCACACACACAAATATGATGTGGCGCATATATATTTGGTGCCCTCTTGTACCAATATTTATGTGTTCAAATAAATAAATAATAAATTCATACTTAATTTTATTCTTTCCAAATATTGCTTATGGTGATTATATAATTTAAAACTTTAGTACTTCTTTATCAAACTTGAAATGCTAGCTTATCGGATATAACTTATAATATAATAGGAAGTGAATATCAGTCAACTCAGATAAAATAATTATTAATCAGTTTGGTTCAGTACAAAGAACTTTAAACGGTATACAGTTAACATTCGTTCAGTTATTAAGTCGCTTTGTAACTGATTATAGTAGACTATATTTAGTGTAGTATAATTTCAGACTACTAGTTTGATATCTATTGTTATTTATACGTATGTTATGGTTCTTATTTCGAATAAATTCTTCCAATATATATGTAGATTTCACTATGAGAAATGTTGATCAGAATTGTTTTAGCTTCCTATATTCTGCAATATTAGTTCATGAGCAACATAAAATAGCACACAGTCCCTACAAGATATTGTTTAGTAGTGTACTAACTGTATGGATAAGTAACATTCTTCATCTGAGATCTAGTAAAACTGAATGCTTTAGATCATCTACAAAAATGTCCACCATGGAAACTGAAAATAATCTGTAAAAATCAAATGTGACAAACGATGGATAACTCCGCATACATTTAAAAAATTCTGTGATACAGAATCTGAAGCGTTTGTTTCATCATTAAGAATGACTTAATTTTGAAGTAAAACTTATTCATACGTTTCATTTTATTATCATTGGCAAAGAACTAAAGGGAAAGTGACTTACATTTAAGTTATTAAGAATCTTAACAGTATTACAAGTGTTAAAGTGTATTACTGAAATAAGATCAAAAATTGATTTGATTTCTTATTTAAAATGATCTAAATTTTTATTGTCTCATTTAATGATGACCAGTTAAATCGAAAAAAATATCACGTCATCGTATAGATAAACCCAATGCTTTTATAGCTGACACATGTTCATGGCCAATTGTGTACATTCGTACTTGCTTTACGATATAGCGGACAACTAGTAAGCTTGATAAAATATTTTGTGTATAAGTGTATAACTTTGTTAAATAAAATGGTTCAATTCTTGCTGACCAGTTATTCCATCTTTTGACATCCGTTCAGTGGAGCATTGTAACAATGAATCAATTTGTCGATAGTAGTCAATTGATCACACTATTCATATCAATTCAAGAGATAAATCAGTCAACACAATTCATAGAATATTTCCCTTTTTAAATAAACACATTAGATAAGCTCAGGATAGATTTACCTTCAGTCTATGGTTCCAGTTATACATATAGAATAATACTCAATACAAAATTGTTTTGTCTTATACTCTACTCTCTAAAATGCATTACATTACTCGCAAATATAAATAGGAATGGGGATTTGTACAGATTTAGTATTAGTATAGGGCTCCTCAGCCGTCCAGAGCTTCCGGTTTTTCAATGTTGATCTAAATTAGATCGACTCATGAATTCAACTGCTAAGATCAATACAGTATCCGCGAATCCCCATTCTGATAATAATCATGTGCTCCCTGGTGAATGGCGTTAAGATGGATTAACTGAAGTCCTAGTGAGAAGTCGTGATTAGTGAAGTCCAATTCGTGCCTGGTGGAGACAGTTTTACGCTTCAAACAATGGATGAAGGGTCGCGCAAGATCATGGATCGATTGAAGTTAGACAATAATACCGTTCGATGGCAGCTATGTGGTCTAGAGATTAATAATATGCAGGCTTTATAATATATAAATACTCATTGACCATCTAGACTAAAAGATAAAGATAAAGATGCTTCAACTTAAACTTATTTTATAATATTTATTAAAGAGATACCTTTTAAGTTCATCTACTTGTTGTTTCAATTTATTGTTCTGTTGTTGCATTAACTCTTGGTCTTGATATAATGCTTGCTGAGATTGATTAAGAGTGTAATTATGAGATCTTGGATTGAGAAAATAAAAAAAAGAATAAAGTTTCTATGATATTCAAGAAGGAAAAACAATTAGTTTAATCCGTTTAGACAATTATAAGGTTTAATTTAATAATTTCAATGAAATAAAATTAACCAACGATCTGTTTTCGTTTGGTGAGCAGACAGTTGGAAAGAAAACAACAATAATTGATACGTTTCATTGAGATAATAAGACAGAATATTTATTAAATAAATTGATAGCGAATATTTTGCCGCCATTAAGTTAATTCAAGAAATGAACAAACATTTCATTGATCTTGTTAATAATTAATTAATCGAAAATTGTGATAATCATGAAGATCTTACTGTACGGTTATAATGTACATTTAAAGTTAATATGAACTTATCATCAATCATACTTCAAAACTTCTACCTAATGATTTGTACACTGAAGAGCTTGATTAAAAAGTTAAAATATTCTGTTTAAATATTTAACTGTTAGATGATTTAATAAATATTACAACTTTCTTATATGAAATGTCGTCTAGCAATGTAATCGAAGATATGTGTTTATTTCTATTTTGGACCCATCAATTAGATGTACTTGCAGCTCAGAATAGATATTTACTCTAGGATTTGAACTTAGTACCATCAGCTTCAAGTACTAACGGATTATCAACTTATTTATTAAGTACAAATAGCTATTCACTTGTGCATCAAATATGGATTTTGATTTATGATGGTTTGAACTGATTGAATTCACTCAAAGTATCAACAACGGAATAATCCAAATGAATACGAATTAAATTATGTCTTATGTTCCTGAGAGTAGTTGTTCAAATAAATTTAACTTATATTCAAAAAAAATCTTAATAACAAGGTAATCGTCCTTGTGAATCATAGATATTTTTTTACATATTTCTACGACACAAGACAAACATTATTTTTAAAAAATGATTGATGAAAAAGGTCGAATACTAATTCTGTCGAAATGTAGTTTATCATTAGTATAGTCACGTTGAGCACAGTAAACACTTAGCTTATCTTATTATCCATAACTGACTGAACATCTATAAATGTTCAAAAAGATTTACTAGTCAGTATACAGTTGCTAATAGTAGTAATTAGCAGGATGAATCGAATCATTCAGTTATATGTGATAGTCAACACTTAAACATTCAAATATGTTTCACTAATATTGTCGCTTTCACTTAAAATATTTGGGAACTCTGGTAAATAATTGAATATGATTTATAATAAAAGTAAACAAGTACTTGATAGTATCTCATTTTTGAAAACAGTGCTGATTAGCTGCTTCAGAACAATTCATAACTATATATTTATTTACATATATGGGATAAGAGATATTGGATACGTTTACCTAATAGATCATATAATAAGTAAAGTTTAACATATTTCCCACTATTGGTATAAGAACACATCACCCTACAAAATGTATCTTTATAAAATAAATATCTCTTTTATCATAGCTCAGATTCTTGGATAATAATGTTAATATAGATCAGTTTCTAAACTTAGTTATTAATTTAGTGTATAGATTCAGTGAACGAAAAGTCTATTATCATAGTTATTAAAATTATTAACTAAACTATAGTAAAAATGAGATGATAAAAGTAAAACATCAATAACTAACTTACTTAAGAATTTCATTTTCTGCTCTATATTGATCTAAAAGAGCGTTTAATTTTGCATGCCATGTAAATGTCGATTCATTGACTTTTTCATCCGGACCTTCAATATATTGGTTTTCACGGTCTGTAACAAGATTTGTAATCTTAAATGAATGACTATATATATATCATTATAAATTGACTAGTAGATAACGTCCATTCTATTAAGTTTAGTTACAAATTCCTTAAAGTTGTATAGCAACAATTTGATAAAGATGATGAATATGTTTGTAAAAAAGTTAGTGGAAGTGATCCAAGTTCGGGGAACTAAGAGATATCTATAGTTTGCTTGTTATCTATGGACTGTAAAACTAAAATTTTTCATAGAGAAAGTTCTAAACCAACTAGAATTAAGAATTATAACATCAGCACATAAAATAAGACAAAGTGTTGGAAATAAATAAAATAGGATATATTTTTCATAGAACACTTAAACAGATATAATGCATTCCAAGACAAATGTTCTTTTTTGAATCGTATTTTGAAGTCTAATAAACTTTTATTGATTTAGTTACTTAAAATAAAACTAAGTATCACTCTTTGATGAGAGTAAAGGATACTTGTGCCCCAGCTTACTGTCACGTTGTATTTTGATGAGCGTAAAGTAATTCCGAATGCCGAACGATTGAAAGACTTTTAATGACAGAAGAGGAAACTATACAAACTACATTGATCGGATAACTGATAAACTACAATACGTTGACATAAGTAATCTACGAGCTAATATGTAGATGAAACAGTCATAAACGTTTTTACATTGCCAACGGAAGTCTTGCCAAGAAAATGTATTGATAAAAACTTGGGAGAATAATTGAATTTGAGTTTACATACCGACCAATTTAGTGATTAGTATTTTCAGGATGGGGATTTGTGGAGATTGCAGCGATTTAAAACGTTGAATTTGTTAGCCGATCCAAGCTAGACCACCATTGAAAACGTGGAAGCACTGAACGACCGTTTCTTCCTACTGTGTGTCTCTTCAACCGAGTGCATCCACGATCCATGACGCGGGACTTGAATCCATAACCTTCGGTTCCGCGCTCCCAGATTTTCAACGGTGGTCTAGCTTTACTTGACTCATGAATTCATCTGTTAAGATTATTATTTTCAAGATTGATCAAACCAAACAAATGTTATCTGAGTGCGGAATTATATGTTAGGTTATCCGTCTGGTTTTTAGTGTCCAATAGATGCACAATATCCAAACACTTTCGGGAAGCTTTCCGTTCATTTGGTGAGCGAATGTTATATAAGAGTGCAATTCATACTGAAAATTTTATTTCAAATATCTGAAATTATACAAATCTGTCTTTTACGAACATGCTAGTTTAGCTCATCCCACGCAGCGTACACATATCGTGTCAAATATTCACAACAGCCGCCCATTCAATTAACAGAAACTCCCGAACATCGCTGGCTTATTTAATATTAAAAATTGAATGGTCATCTCACACAAAATTTACAAAGAAATAATAGAACTAAAATTAAGAGAACATGCTTGTAACTCACCATTCAATGACTATAATATTAGCAAAAATTAATCTGTGTTATCAAAGTATCTCTAATTAATGAGAAAAATATTCATAGTTACATACTTATGTTATTGTAGATAACACTTTAAACCTATCGATTGGAGAACAGTGATTTTGACAGAACATAACAAAACTAATTTTATCAAAATTTATATTCGTCACACTATATTACTATTTCACTTATATCAACCAGAAGTCCATACCAAGTCTGCAAATTCTAGTTCATTTGGTTATAGGATTCATATTTGTAACCGAATATAACAATCAGTTTTATTGTGACACATTCAGTTATAATTGTCTAACAAAAGATGCTCACTGCTGAGGAGTCCCACAATAGGACGAAACGGCCGTCCAGTGCTTTCAGGTTTTCCATGGTGGTCTAGCTTCAATTGACTCATGATCCTAACCATTGCAATTACTATAATATCCACAAAACCCATCTGATATTAAAAGATCATTAGCTGATCAAAACCTGCTTAATCGATATTCAAAGTCGTTACTTTTCTTCTCAGAATATATGAAATTAATCAATTTTAAGGATCCTAGTTAATAATGAAATTGTGTCACAACAAACATTTACATGAAATGAATTATGCACCTTCCCCTTCAAAAAAATAATAATTCTATTCGAATAGTTAAATTATTTGTCTTAGGAAGACTTCTACTTACCTTGTAGATGACTTTGAACGCAGAGTCTGTCTTGATTGGGTGACCTGTGTTCACAAGGTGTTCGATTATAGAACTTCTTATTGAACCATTGCCTCCTCTTTTTAGCCACGCCGGACAATGTTCTTGAATTCTTTTGGATAAAGTACGCATCGAACGACCTATATACCTAGCTCCACAAGAGCAGGTAAATTGGTAAATGCACAATGAGTTGGTCAGATGCGATAATTTATCTTTCAGATTATTGGTGAACAGTGATCGGTTGGAGAATAATATTCGCAATGTTGCTGCGAAGAATGTTCTCTTTAAAGAATCCGAAATTCTCCTCTTTAAGATATATGCGGCTCTATCACCTTTGAAGTCGATGTTCATGTATAAAATTTTCTTTTCTACTGTAGTTGTTTGTGGTTTTGGCATTTTCGGCTTCATGTTCTTATCAATGAATATAGAAGGCTATCCGTTTTTGATAAGTATCTCTTTTAAAAGGCTCAATTCTTCCTCTACGACCTCGGGCTACATATTCTTCGTATTCTTGTGGCGAGAGTTATTATTAATTTTCTTTTTCGGCTGATGGAAACCCAACTGTGGAAATTTGATAGTTGGCCATTCCACATAGGTTTCCTGTAGATAGCTCTTTTTAAAGTACCATCATGTTTTCTTTTCATATCTACATCAAGGAAGTGAATATTTTGTTTGCTTTCAACTTCAAGTGTCAATTTTATTGATGGGTGACAATTATTAAATGTCTCGAGGAGATCACTTAAGTTACATTTGTTGTCACAAATGATAAAGATATCATCCACATACCTTTTATACAAGTGGAGGTTTTCTATAATTCTTTTGAGTTGACTGTTTCCTAAACTGGCCATGAAGCAATCTGCCAGTAATGGACCAAGAATACGAAGAATATGTAGCCCCGAGGTCGTAGAGGAAGAATTGAGCCTTTTAAAAGAGATACTTATCAAAAACGGATATCCTTCTATATTCATTGATAAGAACATGAAGCCGAAATGCCAAAACCACAAACAACTACAGTAGAAAAGAAAATTTTATACATGAACATCGACTTCAAAGGTGATAGAGCCGCATATATCTTAAAGAGGAGAATTTCGGATTCTTTAAAGAGAACATTCTTCGCAGCAACATTGCGAATATTATTCTCCAACCGATCACTGTTCACCAATAATCTGAAAGATAAATTATCGCATCTGACCAACTCATTGTGCATTTACCAATTTACCTGCTCTTGTGGAGCTAGGTATATAGGTCGTTCGATGCGTACTTTATCCAAAAGAATTCAAGAACATTGTCCGGCGTGGCTAAAAGAGGAGGCAATGGTTCAATAAGAAGTTCTATAATCGAACACCTTGTGAACACAGGTCACCCAATCAAGACAGACTCTGCGTTCAAAGTCATCTACAAGGTAAGTAGAAGTCTTCCTAAGACAATTAGACTGCATCTTCTTTGCATTGCCGAGGCAATAGCCATACACTTTGAAAAACCAGAATTATGTGTACAAAAGAGACTGGTACAACCTCTTCTTCTACCATGGTCTTAGTGTATTAAAATTCTTCTCTTTCTTCATACTCTTGTTCCCTTACAGCCACCTGCTTGACCTTCCATCTTCCCTTCAAATCTTCTACTCCCAACCGGTTTGTTTTTATTTCCACGATCATTCCGATTACATTTTATCTCTGTTTCAACATTTTATTTTATCATGCTGAGCCATCCTTACCCGATGAATACTTAAGCCATTAACTATCAAACGATTATTAAACTTTCCTTGTTTTAAAAAAATTTTTTCTAATACTTTTGTTTATTTAACCTCACTGTCACCATGTATAACAGAAGTTTATTATCAGTATTATTATCACCCTGTAAAAATAAATATATATTTGCGATTGTACAGCTTTGAAAATGAATTCGCCGAAAAGAGAACTCTCCGCTGAACTCTGAATTTTATCAGCGTCTTCACGAGACATGACTATATCATCTGCGTATTCTTATTCGATAAGTGGACCTCCTGGTAGGGATCAATGCACGAGAATTTAGTCGACAAAAGCGTTATTTCTATCATTATGTCTATGATGAAGTTGATCAAAAATGGAGAATGTGGACAGCCTTGACGGATACCACTTGAGGTTGCAAAATCAGATGACCGTTAAACATGAGCTCTGATTCGACTAGTGGTGTTCGAGTTAAAAGCCTTCCAAGGTTTGTGTACTTCTGGGGTACGCCTTTTAATGACAGACACTGCCACAGAATCTCGCGGTCTACAGAGTCAAATGCTGCTTTTAGTTCTAAAAAGACCTCCATTGTCGGTCGGCGATAAGTATGCTTGTGTTCTAGAATCTGACGAATGGTGAATATGTGGTCGATTCAGCCACGACCAAGTCTGAAGCCAGCTTGATTTTCTCGTGTTTGCAGTTCACGAGTCTTAGTGAGACGACCGATAATTATTGACTCTAGTAATTTAGATGCTATGTTAGTCAAACTAGTCCCACTATTGTTGTCACAGGATGATTTTGACCCTTTCTTATACATTGGGATGATCAGTGATTGTGACCAATCAGATGGGATTACGTCCAACTCCCAGGTTTTAGCTAAAATATTAGTCAACCTGATCGTAAAATTGGACAACCATCCTCAAAGTCATCTGGATCAGCTGCCCTTCCTCGTTGCAGATTAATTATAGCCTTTTGAACTTCAGCTAGTTTTGGGGGACCTTCTTCAATGTCCCATTCATACTATCTGGGAATGATGGGTAGTTGTAGAGTAGCTGAAGGCCAGATAAACTGTTCTCTAAAATGTTCCGCCCGTCGTTCTAAACGTCTGGACTTGGAGTAGATGAGAGTGTCGTCTTTTTCCGAGATAGTCTCACTTACACTTGACTTATTAATTCTAGTTTCTTCTATCAGTCTGAAGAGCTGTCTTGTATTACCTACAGCCCGTCGCCTTTTCCATCTCTTTTGCTTTCGCTGCCCACCACTGCTCACGGTCGTTCCTTAGACTTTTACTTAACCTAGATCTGATTTGTTTACGTTCTTCATGGTGTTCAAAACCTGATGGGATGAGTTTACGAGAATCCATCAGTGCGATAAACCTTGAAGAAATCTATTGGTTCTTTGTAACCCTATGGTTTAAATCACTAATAGATGTCATTGCTGTTTCCACAGCTGATTGTATATCTTCCCAAGCAACATCTGGGTCAGCCTCGTTTTCAGAACTACCTCAGTTGTTCCTGGAACCTACTTTTGGTTTTCTCGCTACTCAATTCAGTTCTAATGGGTCTTTTTGATGTGGCTTTTTTGCGTCCAGTGAGGCGCAAGCAGATGCGTGCACGTATTAGGGCATGGTCGGAGTCCAAGCAGGTACTCCAGAATGAGCGACAATCTTCCTTCGACCTCTCCAACGATGGCAGATGGCAATATGGTCTATTTGAGTTCATCGTTGGTTTGGTGCAGGGGTCGCCATGTTAGACGATGTCTCTCTTTATACTTATTGCTGTCATGTTGGTTGTCTGAAGGAAACACCTTACTACTGTCACACGTCTGTGCTGTCAACAGTACGACTTCGCCTTCGGACCTTGGGTTTGTTGCTTTACGTTTTACCGCCCTTCAAACGACCTGTCTGGCATGGTAGGACTTTAAGGAACGGCTGTTCCAGCCAGTATAGCTGGATTGGTTCATCGCGATAGGCAAGCCTGACCACCACGTCAAGGTAGCGACAACAGTTGGGAAGACGGAGCTGGAAAAATGAGATAAGACTCATTGTATTGTGCCTCCCACACGGAAATCCGCAAATGAGGAGACATCAGAGTCAAGATGACTGATGCTTCAACTGTCAATTCACTTACATTGGTAGCGTCATCAACTTAAACGATCAAGTGTGATCAGGATGAAAGTCTAAACACCATAGTATTGGTTAATATTAGGCGGTCGTTAGTGTCAAATGATATGTCCCAAAATGCCCTGGTACAGCCGAGAGTGGGGAGAGTCAGCCCTCTCTCTCACAAAATGCTTGCACACAACCACTACCAGGGAAGTCCTACTCACTGCCTTCTCGCACCACGGGTGTTGTTTACAAAACTGAGAAGACGAAAAGCGAATGTCCGGCGCTTTACCCGGGTTGGTGGACACGGAGAGTCCACCTAGGGGAGTTTGAAACCTCTGATTCCAAACCAATGGTGCATATGGCCTCCAGTATCCTGAAGGAACAAATGGCGTATGAACCAATCGTTGGTCACCGGCTACCATGGGACTGCATCTCATGACGTTGCTTCAATGCCTTTGGATTAGGACTTTAGGTTGAAGTCTCCAGCGTGGCCCACTATGAAAACCACCTACTTCGGTTTGGACGCCCGGGTAGTATCCCAGCCTTCACACAAATCGAATGATTTACGTGATGTATATCTATTTGGTGCCTCCTTGCACGAATGATTGTGTTTAAATAAATAAATAAGCGTTAGATGTTAAGCTACACTTAATATACGATAGCTAATAATGAATCCTGATTATTTAATACGAATATGCGGTAAGAGATTCCAAGTGACAACCTATCGAGAGAACCGATGTATATTTATTCCTGGTCCTACGTTGTAACATCGTAAGAAAATAATAATGGCATTATAAAACTGTTCACGTCCTCTTACAAAGCCATGGAAAGGAAGGTTTCACATATTTCCTTTGGGCAACAATCGTCAGTGCTGTCATATTCGTGCTTTATACATATCCTTTTTCTACCTTCCCTCTAACTGGGGTAACTTAGTCCATATCGAAATGTCTTCCAAAATCATATACAAATTTCGATGAAACAATTCCAAATAAGTGCAAATTAAATATTTGTAAACACTTGAAATATTAACGATCTAGAGTTCTGAGGGATTCGAGTATCGGAATCTGAATTATTTCAAGATTGCAGGTGCCTCATGTTTATAACTGCCACATTGCTCGGAACTTAGGTACAGGGCTTCTTGAATACTACCTTCAACCACCTGATACAAAGCTGCTCTTGACTGTTGGTTCTTAATATTCATTTGTAAAGATCACTCAATGATTTACTATTACTTCTACATACCAGGTCAACTGGAACTAGCGACCACAGAATGGATCATACCGATCCATTTTATTAGCCAGGTAGGTTGAGTAAGTAATCCTCATGTTCCGTAAACACAACATATATTTGTTGCTGAGTACACTTAAATTCTAAACAATATATTCAATCTTGTTCGGCTTAACTTTCGAGTGTTTAGAACCCTGATACTCAATTGAAAGTTTACTTTTACGAGGCTAGCAATAAGGATTTGTGTAGTCGAATAATTAATAAGGGCTTTAGGGTAATAACTTTTAGTACGATTTTCCTTTTTGAAAAATATGATGAAGACAGAAATGTATGTAAATGGATGGAACTACTGTTCATGAGAATCTTTATGCTGACAAGTGATACATACTGGTTGCTTTTAACTTAGAAGTTAGTATCTCAAAGCACGTAAAAAATGTTAACTCGGTGCAACCGCACAACCTAAAAGACGTGTTGAATTTCGGAGGGTTAGATCCGTTCTTCAAAAGTCTAACAGTCCCAAAATATTGTGGAACTTAAATTCTTTAATATTCACCTTTTAGAGTTGTCTTTCAAAATGGAAGTGTTACGTCCCCGAATTCGCTTATTATCATACACAAGCTCGGCAGGAATGTTATTACAGTAGTTATCATCAAGGGTCTTGGAAACTATACGAAGTGAAATGGGTATCATTTTTCATTTAGCTTCAGTGCATGTGTGTTTACACCAAATTATTTAGATTACTTGCTTGCTAGGAGTTGTGTGTTCTATGATTCACTCTATGATTTCTGTATGTCATCTGATATTCACTCCATTCAGAAAGTGTAACTATATTTGATTCTCCTTTTTTGCTTCAGCACCATAAACAAATTCACTATCCTGGCCAACCTTTGTTTTAATTTAGATAGGTATGTTACGTGCTGACAGTCACTTAACAAAATTTAGAATAACGACCAATTTTTCAGACTTGAAGTGCATCAGATCAAGTTGTCACATTCTTCAAAAGTAGGTAGATAAAAAGTCAATAATAATGAGTGAGCGATAAGAATATAGGTCAAGAATAGAGAGTAAGTTAAAGTAACATAATATTCAAGACTTAAAAGATGCATTCTGAGCTATTTCACGTAGGATCTACTATTGATGTTTGTTGTAGCCTACCTTATCACTAGTATTTTGATATATTTGCTACAATCTTAGTGTGTAAATTCACGAGAACTGTTTTTAGACTAAAGTTGATTGATGTTATCTGTCGAATTTTGTATTAACAGTCAAAAGAATTTCTGGTCAATGGATTATTGTTTATTGGAACGGTAACATCAGCTGTGAAAACAGCTGTTTGCATTTTAGCTGTTATTTTGTGTTCTACACAACTATCAATTAACAGTCATAAATAAACATTTCCAAGGTATTTTTACCTTGTGATGGCTGATGAAGGGTTGAAGGATTCTAAAGCTAATGATGGCCAGATAGATGACGATCGTTTAAATGAAGAAGATTACCAGGAACCGGATTGTCGTAGTGAAAATATATCTGAAGATATCACAGATACAGAGATCGAGTGTTTGAAAAAGGAACTGCAATCTGAGATTTCAGAGTTGGAGTGGGAATTCAAACAAGCAAAAGAGTCACTATACAATGAACGCATAATGCAAGTAGAGAATAAATTAAATCAAGCGAAAATGGGTACTGCACCTGAATTTCTTCATGTTTTATCCTTGGTTGAAGAGACGTATAAAATTCGATTACAGGTTTGTTATCTTCATTTTACTAATCATTCCTAAAACTATATCAAGATATGATAACAATCTTCACAAATAAAGACTAATTGGTCAAAGATAGTGAAGAGCTTTTCCTTCGATCTTGACAATAATTAGTATTATGTTTTATGAACTCTTTAATGAATTCAAAAATTTGATTGTCCACTGATAATCAATCTTATATATAGTATATTTTAATACTATAACTAAGTTTATCGACCTCCGCTAATCTTATCGCCTCCTACAAAAGCTATCATATTGGACCGACGAAAGAGATCAACAGATGTTTTGGTTTCGCGTTTGTGTGATCTAACTGTCAATTTCCATTCTCAAATAAACTGATTATTTTCTCACTGATCTAATCTCGCTACATTTTTCAAACGTGATATATTTTTGCATTATATGCAACTGATAGATTAGAGTACACAAAAGTCATTATCATCACTAAGACACATAGTTTGATAACTTTTGTAATACGCAGTTTTATGCGTATTCAAAACTTTATGTTATTATTTGATTCTTTTGCATTACATTCTTCATAATCTGTACATAAATAGAGGTGGTTGCAATGAAAATTTGCCATATATGTTTAGTAAGTGTATCTTTCCAACGCTCGACCCACGTGAGAAAAATATTTCCACTTTCGGAGTCATTGTTGGACTCTGGAACGCTGCTAGCAACTACATCACAAGAACTACTTGAAATAGCGTGTGAACTCGCGCAGTGGATGTTGTGCTGCTGCGTCAGAGTCTCCAATAATCGCATTTATGCATCGAGTTGTGCTTGCTATTGTTGGAGTATTCATATGAGCTGGTCATCTGATATCGGTATTTTCATGTTATAATTTCTCTTATTACGACCCAGCTTATCTTATTGCTTAGTATTCTTGGATACTACTTCACTCGACAAGCCTCCAAATCAGAACACGGTTGAACAGGAATGAAATTATATTCCAAATAACAAGGGTAGATGGAATTAGGAATTTCAATAAGGAAAACCTTAGTACATTTATAGTTTATAGAGTCTTCTCCAGTTATCCACTAGCGCTGATTAGATAAGAAATAGCCAGTCAGCGTGCCCCAGTATAATCCTACACGGAACGTGCTTTAATTCAATCTATATTCCGCTAACAGCGTAAATTATCCTTGTCGTTTTTCAAGTAGAAAACTATCGTCTGTCCAAAATTACACTGTTTCGAAAGTGTCGTGGTTGGGATTTCATTGCTTGTTACTTACTTACGCCTGTTACTCCTCGTGAAGGAGCATAGGCCACTCACCAGCATTCTCCATCCAACCCTGTCCTGGGCAATCCTTTCTAGCTCCGTCCAGTTGTAATTCATCCTTTTCATATCTGCTTCTATTATCCGACGCAATGTGTTCTTTGGCCTTCCTCTTTTTCGCTTCCCTTCAGGATTCCAAGTTAGGGCTTGCCTCGTGATGCAGTTTGACGATTTGCGTAATGTATGTCCTATCCATTTCCATCGTCTTTTCCTAATTTCTTCTTCAGCTGGAAGTTGGTTTGTTCTCTCCCACAGAAGGCTATTGCTGATGGTATCCGGCCAATGGATGTTGAGTATCTTGCGTAGAGAGCTATTTATAAATACTTGTACTTTCTTGATTGTGGTTGTTGTAGTTCTCCAAGTTTCAGCTCCATACAGTAGAACTGCCTTGACGTTCGTATTGAAGATTCTCACTTTGATATTGGTTGAAAGTTGTTTTGAGTTCCATATGTTCTTCAATTGTAGGAATGCGACCCTTGCTTTGCCGATCCTCGCCTTTACGTCTGCATCTGAACCTCCTTGTTCATCGATGATGCTTCCTAGGTATGTGAAGGACTCTACATCTTCCAGAGTTTCGCCATCAAGAGTGATTGGATTGCTGTTTTCCGCTTTGAATTTGAGGACCTTGGTTTTCCCTTTGTGTATGCTGAGGCCTACTGATGCAGAGACTGCTGCTACACTGGCTGTCTTCATCTGCATCTGTTCGTGTGTACGTGATAGGAGGGCTAGGTCATCTGCGAAGTCCAAATCGTCTAATTGATTCTGAGCTGTCCATTGTATTCCGTGTTTTCCTTCAGATGTCGAGGTCTTCATAATCCAGTCGACCACCAGAAGAAAGAGGAAGGGAGAGAGTAAACAGCCTTGTCTGACTCCAGTCCTTACTTGGAATGCATCTGTCAGCTGTCCTCCATGCACTACTTTGCACTGTAGTCCGTCGTATGAGTTCCGGATAATGTTGACAATCTTCTCAGGAACTCCGTAGTGTCGAAGAAGTTTCCATAATGTCCTCCTATCTACACTGTCGAATGCCTTTTCATAATCAATGAAGTTGATGTATAGTGATGAGTTCCACTCAACTGATTGTTCGACGATGATCCGTAGTGTTGCAATTTGGTCTGTGCACGACCGATCCTTACGGAATCCAGCTTGTTGATCTCGAAGTTGGGCGTCTACTGCATCCTTCATCCGGTTCAGCAACACTCTGTTGAAGACTTTCCCTGGTATTGACAGTAGTGTAATGCCTCTGTAGTTTTCACATTTGCTCAGATCTCCTTTCTTTGGAATCTTGACGAGGTGTCCTTCTTTCCAGTCCATCGGCACTTGTTCCTCCTCCCAAATCTTTTTGAATAGAAGGTAAGCATGCTTGTGGTTGCTTCGATGTCTGATTTCAGTGCTTCAGCTGGTATGTTGTCGGGTCCTGCTGCTTTCCCGTTCTTGATTTGTCTGACGGCCATTCTAATTTCTTCCGTCGTTGGTGGGTTGACATCTATAGGAAGATCTATGTGTGCTGCTTCGATGTCCGGTGGATTCATTGGAGCCGGCCTATTCAGGAGTTCCTCGAAGTATTCTACCCATCTGTTACGCTGTTGTTGAATTTCGGTGATTGGCTTGCCTTCTTTGTCTTTGACCGGCCTCTCTGGTTTACTGTATTTCCCTGCTAGTTTCTTCGTTGTATCGTGAAGCTGTTTCATATTTCCTTCTCTAGCAGCTTTTTCTGCCGTCGTTGCTAGTTCTTCCACGTATTTCTTCTTGTCGGCTCTAATGCTCCTCTTCACTTGTTTGTTTGCTTCTATGTATTCAGCTTGTGCTTGGACTTTCTCTGCTCGTGTTCGGCTGTTGTTAATTGCTGCCTTCTTGTTCTTCCTTTCTTTGATCTTGTCCAGTGTTTCTATAGAGATCCATTCCTTATGATGGTGTTTCTTTAGGCCCAGAACCTCTTGACACGTTGAAGTTAATGCTTCCTTGATGCCTTTCCAGTTGTCCTCCATACTAGTTTCTTCTTCTTCAGTAGATCTTGTAAGGCTTGGAACCTGTTGTTGAGAGCTATCTTGAATTCATTGAGTTTGTCAGTATCTCGAAGGAAGGCTGTATTGAACCTTTGTAGTGCTGTTTGTCCACTTGTCCAGTTCTTTTTTAGCTTCAGTTTTAAATTGGCTACAACTAGGTGGTGATCTGAAGCTACGTCAGCACCTCTCCTGGTTCTCACATCTTCCATTGTCCTTCGGAATTTTTTGTTGATGCAAATATGATCTATTTGGTTCTCTGTAGTGTGGTCCGGTGAGATCCATGTAGCCTTGTGTATACGCTTGTGTGGAAATATTGTGCCTCCTATGACCAATTTGTTGAATGCACATAGATTTGCAAATCTTTCTCCATTTTCGTTTCTCTGTCCCAGTCCATGTCGTCCCATGATATCTTCATATCCGGTGTTGTCTATTCCGACTTTGGCATTTAGATCTCCCATCAGAATAGTTAGGTCCTTTCTTGGCATTTCTCAATGATTGACTGCAGCCGCTCGTAGAACTGATCTTTAATGTCGTCGTTGCTATCATTGGTGGGTGCATAACATTGGATAATATTCATTAAGATCCCCTCCTTCTTTGTTTTGAATGATGCTTTGATGATTCTGGATCCGTGAGACTCCCATCCTACAAGTGCATTTCGTGCTACTTTGGACAGCATAAGAGCGACTCCCTGAGTGTGTGGAGCATTGTCCTCTTCGTGACCGGAGTATAGCAGCATCTCTCCCGTAGCTAGCCTTTTCTGTCCAGCTTGGGTCCAGTGGGTTTCGCTGATTCCCAGTACTGCTAAGTTGTATCTCCTCATTTCCATTGCTATTTGACTGGTCTTCCCGGTTTCCCACATTGTTCGAACGTTCCATGTACCTATAAAAATTTTTGCTCTGGTTGTTAGAAGGGGCATCGGCCTCGTGGCTTCCGAAGGAACTCGGCTTTCACCATGAAGCGTCATAATTCTTCTAACTGAAGACCTTCTAACTCCCAGGGCAGAGTTTAAATGGTTTGGATTATTTTTTCTGGTAAGCGTTTTTTTAGCGAGTTAGTTTTCTACGGGATGGGGACGCTAACCCCATGCCCAACCCTCCTCCTTTACCCGGGCTTGGGACCGGCATTAACCCTATAAGAGCTACAGGCGGAGTTTTCATTGCTTGTAGGCTGTGTTAATTTGGGATTGGGAACTAACTAAAGTAGTAGTGTAGGTATTCGTTTAAACTAGTCAGAGAATACTTTAGGTCATCAAATTTTTGTATCTTACTAGACGTATTTTCGAAATAAAATAGGTCAACAAATGTAGTTGTACATTTAAGTTGATCATTCAGAAGGGTAACTATTGTAAGTACCATATATGTCCTTGCATATTTTACAATTGTTATATGTGTATATCCGTGGAATAAGACTGAATCACATCATCTATGTTCAATCAGATTTTCACATACTTTTTCAAATATTTCACAGTTTAAGGATAGAAAGAACTTTTTTGCGTTTCTAAAGGTGTCTTATTATGTTTTGACAGTATTCCCTAAAACAATCTTTTTAAGGTGGCAAAACATAGAATGCAATTCGCTTTGGAAATAACTAACAAAGAGTTGGATAACGAGTTACAAATCATTCAGTGTGACGTTAATGAGCGATTATTAGCAGCAGAAGAACAAATTCGATTAAGTCTTCAAGAGAGTTTATGTAAACTTCAATATGAACGAGCTGCTCACCAAAAAAAAGCTTCTAAAGGTGAGAGTATCGATCTAATTTACTCTATGGTGTATATATTTTGGAAACAATATTATTTAGCCATTTGTGAAAAAGTACTTAAAGTGTATTAAATGAACTGCACACTTCACCCCATTTAGTTTTCTTCTTAAACCCCGTCCAAATTATCATAACTTTTCAACGTTTACAATCTCTCGCCAGTTTGTGGATATATTTGTAATACAAGTGACAGCATCTCTCGGTAGCAATTTACTTCACTATCAAACTAATAATAAACTGGATTTCGAATAGATTATTATTTATTTGTTTGTTTTCATAGTACTTCTTATCCTGCCGTTATTTGGTATGGTAAGAATTTCGTAATGACCTGATCCATATTTAGCCAACTACCATCGATGTCATTGGATTGTAGATAAGGAATATGTTTATATTATTTGGTAACAGCTAGTAATAAGACCGAAAAAAATTGTTGCGTTCTACCTTGGACTCTGCAAATAATTATGTTTACAATTAAGTTACTACTTTGCTTAAATTATTTCCTATAAGTTAGTAAAGAGTTGATCAGTCAGTCACTTGCTACGTTGGATTTAGGACATATGTGGGTCAGTTAAAGCTACTATACTCCCTTAGCAAAGTAAGATCGAGTTATCAGGACAAAACCCAGAGTAGTAGAAGTAAAGTGATAATGTCTTTTTAATATCTTTCTATTTGTCTTAAACTGTTTTAAAAGACATCATAACTAAGACACTTTTCTATTCAAACTATGTCAAACCGATTTCAAAATCAGTTTAACATTTCCGAAAAGTGGCATTAATAATGATCATTCGTTACTGGATCACAATGGATGTGACAACTCAGTATAAAATACACCATTAACTCCCCACTTCGTGTAATATAACGTTCTGCGAAGTTTGATGTATCTCAGCTTCAAGAATTAGGTGTTTAGGATTGTCATAATTATCTGTGTAATCCTTTAATTTTTAATGCATAAAATTGCGATTCAATTTTATTATGTAACGTTTTGTTGACCAATGAACTATAGTTGATATTTTATTTCCTAAAAGACACCAAATAGTAAAGTTCGTTTGTTGTAATTGGCTGATATAAATATAGGAAGGGATTGGTAAATCTGACGACAATAACTTTCATTTAAGTTCCAATCACATCGAAGTTTGATCGGAAGCAAAATCATATGTGTCTTAAAGAGAGTAAGAACGAAGATTAGTGCAGAATAGTATGAATTCGTTTTATTTCGTCAGGTTCTCATAAGCTGCTTACAACCTATAATATTTAAAGTCAACGTTATTACAGATATTGACATGCTTATAAATATGAGGGTGATTAGAGATAAATATGTATATCATGATGTAGCGAAATTGGAATCTTCACTTTTAGATCTTACACTAGATAAATCCAATGCTAACCATACAAACAAAGTGTCGAAGAGATGAAAAAAACTATAAAATGTCATCCTTGACCAAAAATTATTTAAGGGTTTGATTAATGCACGTCATGGGTTATTTAATCAACATTTGCCAATGAAAGGGATGTGGCAAACCTTGTGAACTACAATATAGCACAAAACACATCGAATCGTGTGGATTACCGCAAATTGTCAATATATTAAGGGACTAAAAAGCTTTAACTTGCTATTTTTCTGTTAGCTGAAGCCATAAAACATCACAGTTACACAACTAAGCGTTTAAACGAGAGAAAAATGACTACTATCAATACTGTCAGTAAAATATTTACTCAGTAATAAAATTGGGGAAAAATTGTCGAGTAGACTGTTATACTATGTATATTGATCGATTAAGACCATCTGCTGGATCCAAAACTTGACACCATGATATTGCCTACCTTGTAATGTTCGTTTTGTCATATGTATAAAAAATACACATTTTTATTGGCACAATTTAGATTCGATTTTTTGTGAGGTAGATTAGTGGTGTGGTTATGCCTTACAATTTTAAAGCATTTCTTGCACGGTATTAATATTGTAAGATTATCTTGCGACACAAGTTCTTGGATTGTAGGATTACATCTAAAATATTTTTCAGCTCTAATAATCCATCTGTACTCTAATGATGCACTTTATTTTAAATTAAGATATTTCTATTCATGTATAATTTAGATTCAGAAAAAGAATATACCAAGTCTTTTGATCAATATGATAATTATCTTCCTAGTCCAAATCTTGAACCTCGAAAGAAACCAGTTACACTATCCCCATCTACTCCAAGACTTATATATCAAATACCTGACAAAGATATTCGTTCAGATGTTGAATTAATTTTAGCAGCTGTAAAGGTAAGTTAAAATAAAGCTTTGTAAGATTTGAAAGTGTAAACTTTTTGAAATGATACTTATAGATAATAGATTTGTAAACAAAGATAAGTGTTAGAAGTTTTCTGAGCCTTGGTATTTATTATTATCATGTATATAAGTTCTTTTAATTGAAAAAAAAACTAAGATGTTGCTCGAAATATTTTAACTTGATGGTATACATGTCGCACTCATCTAATTGATCCGTTCCGACCAGTCTTATTGATCAGTACTTTAAAGCGATTTCTATCTTATAGTCAGTTTTGTTGTATGATTTGACTTTACGGAATCTAAGCTACAAGAAAACCCTTCAAATTTCAAAGATCCCAGTGTTAAGTACTTTACAAATCCCTGCGAAAACCTAATAACCTCTTAATGTTGTTCCGTCTTTTAATCAGTACAGATGCAAACTTTCGGTTGGTTAAGTGTGACTAAACTGGGTTAATTTCTTGGCAATTCGGTCTACGTATCTTGTTCAACCTAACCTTTCGTTTTATTATTTCCGTGGGTTAAAATAGTGTTCTTGTCAGCCCTTATAGTTGAAGTTCTAAACAGAACCAGATGTAAACACACATGGTTATCAATTGAACCTCTTGTTTATCTTTGAATTCCCTTATACATTGATATCACTTGCTTAGGTTTTAACGTTTTTGTGTTTAATTTTCAATAAAGAGCTTAACAGCTCTCTGTAGAGCCCACTCTCATATTTTTTTAATAATTTTCTCTATGATGAATTGAAGTGTAGCAATTTAGACCGATTCATATTGAGACTAGCTTTGTGTTGCTTATTATTAGCTGACATCTGAGTTTTTAGTTTCTTATGTTTATCTTAAAAAAAATACCACTTAATCTGAAAACAAGAAAGGTTCCGTCGCATCCCGCTCTTAGGCGTACAGTTGTCAGGAAATCTTGCCTATGGTACAGATAGAGCTTTTTCGTATATCGAAGAGTAAGCACAGCGTACAGTCGTCTGTCCTTTCTTACTTGATGGATGTAAAATATCCCTTTCAGAGCAAGACGAAATCTAACTGATTTGGTTTAAAATAGGTCAATCCAACAACTTTTATTTTTAAATGCCATATTTCACAACCGAAAAGGAATAAAAATAGGCTATTGGTTATCATACTCACTCTTTACTAGAAAAATAAACATCTCACGTTTGCCAGCAATTGTGAAGGTTAACAAAAACTGAGTTGGTTTTATACTCATTATGAGTAGTCGTCATCACTAACCCATCAACAAAAAAGGGTTAGTAGTTGAGTCACACAACTTAAAATCAATGGGTTACGGGATTTACCCTGTTCCACCTACGTCACTCTAGAATCACTGGTAATCTTAATAACCCCCACATAAATGGAATTACCGTAGTAAAAGTTCAAGAACTTGTAATTGGTTAATGAGTTATATTAGATTTAATCAAAAATGTAGTCAATTCACCAGGATCAATGAGAAAGCAATGAAGCGCGGTTGAACTCCACTGGTCACAATTTCTCACTAGAACTCCACAAATTCCATTTTAAACGTAGTCTTTAGTGAGCTCATGATTTTAGACTTCCAATAGTTGTCTAGCTTAGATCGCTTCGTGATCTCAATAATAGTCACATTTTTTGTTACCTTTCTGTTTACTCAAATTGCTCAGTAATACTAAGTTTTCTGTAACTTATTTGAATAATGTACCTCAAGTAGTTTTGTTTTATACTTAGTATATTTTATTTTGTTGATATTTTTCCGATTTTTTGTATAGAAACATAAATTAGCCTTTGCTATGTCACAGCTCAAAAACGAAAAGATAAAGTAAATACCAACGCTTATGTAAAGATGTAAATACTTTTTATCTCTCAGTATATTTTTATTTCTGTAAGTTATGTAGTTTATGATGTGTGTGTATAATAAAAAAGACTCAAAATAAAATGAACAAGTTTATACACCAACTTTTTTCCTTTTATAAACATTATCTGGTTAACATTTACGGGTGACTACTGCTCACCAGTCAATTGTTTATGAAAACATCACAAAATGAACATTATTTGATTTGAATACTTTTGTTGTGAATCTGTTTCATTTTTTGTGTTGCTCGTCAGTCGTTTGACGCATAGCTGCTGTTACTATTGCGAATTATACACATAACCGAGTAACTACTATTGATCATCGTTTATTATTTGCCTAAAAAGACTGTTTATAGTTGCGCAGGTCAATCGCATATAACTTTTAAAGTGGTCGTAGCTGACAAAGCAACTAATAGAAGGTTTACCAAAGCTACTTAGTAAGAACTTAAACAAAATAAAAATAACAATACTTACAAAATACGATGAATTCATTGTACCTTGTCCGTTTTTCAGCTTATAAGTTTAGGTATTTCTAACTATTAACATTATGTTGAATTAGAAAGAGAGTTGTCAATCAACAACAAATAAGTTATTTGCAATGTAGAAGAAGTTAAAAATCGAAGTTTTACTAGGATTTCCGGTGATAGTTGTACAATATTCAAGATGGTTTTATTAGGAAATATGAAGGAAGCTCTAGGAAGTTTAGAAATAAGAAACATGATGTGTGAATTAAATTCACTAGATTGTTTGTATAAAGGACAAAATCGTGACAGAATAACATGAATCCAGTCATTTCGTGGGTTCGTAGCTGCTTAAAACCTGAAAACAATAGTACTACTCATTCAAAACGAAACAAGTACACAAACTTTATATTGGAAAATGCTTAAATAAAATTGTTTGACATGTAATACAATAATTGTGGAAGAACTAAGATTTAATCAAACGTTTGTCTATTTGCAGTTTCAATGTATAATACTCGAGAAGAGAAAACCGAGAAGAGCATGAAAACAATTTTTTCTAGAAACTCAAGATTTATGCTATAGCTTATGTAGTATTTATAAAGTATAAATTAGCTAAGTCTCAGAAGTAAGACATAGAATATTAGGAATTGTAATTAAGGTCACGGGAAAGAATCCTACGTAACAATCTCATAAAAACGATGACAGCAAAGGGAAACAATGATGATTGTTTCTTTTGGCCGCATAAATTCAGTTTAAATCGTTTTATTGCTAAAACACGGAGTTTAGGAAAGAGATCTCTTTCCAACGAATTTATCTTCAAGCTATACCATCCTATATATACATATAATTTCAACCCTTTCTGAAGTTTGATTACAGCACTGTCATTTTTCTTCCATTCATAAGTGACTGATTTCAACTCATATCTTTCTTTATTACCATTAATCTAATATTCGTTGCTTCATTATATAATCATTTAATGTTTGTTAACTCAATGAATTATAGTCAGTATTTCAATGTTCTGGAACTTTCCCTCTCAAACTTTATTTATTTGAAACAAAATATTTTATTCGTTTAAAGATCTCCATCATATTAAAAGACTAATTTTCTATGACTTTATTAACGTTATCGGAATATTCGCTACATCATGATACACATATTCATCTCTAATCACCCTTGTATGTATAAGTATGTCAGTATCTGTAATAACGTTGATTTTGAATATTATAGGTTGTAAGCAGCTGACGAGAACCCGACGAAATAAAATGAATTCATATTATCTTCGTTCTTGTTCGCTTTAAGTATATGCATATGAAATTTTTTATGTTGAAGTATTAGTTTCGTGAGGATGTATGAACAAAAAATGACCGTGATAATACAGTCGAAAGGTTATAACACTAGGTTACGCAATATAAATAATAACAATGGACTTAATAAGCCAGTAAAGAACTGTAATGTGAATGAGGTAAAATGTTTTGTCACAATAATTAGAGGTAATAGATGTGCAAAAATAAATGAATTGATATCATGAGCAATTATGAATAAAATCATGAGAATCTGAGACATAAGTAAGGGGAGAAATGCAATAATAATTATTATGTTTTTTGTTGTCAAAAAGGCAATTATATGTCGATTAAAGCGTAATACGCTGGAAGTTCCTTGTTTATTGATTATTTTGAAGGGTCTTGAATTATAAACATTATTTTCACTCTTGGGAATTTGTCCGTTTAGCCGTCAATTTGGGGGATATGTTCGAATATGCAGACACTAACTCTCCATTCTGTCCTTCCCATAGATACACTCTGGTACGTTCATGTAAACTGATGAACGTAATTAGAGGTAACATAAGTTGCGAATTTGTTCACCTTTGATTTTCCCAATAAGAAATTCGTTCAGTATAAAATCCAGTTTGATATACACTATGGAGACTAATCAGATTCGTCCTTCAGTAAGGAAAATAGTTCAGTTACATTTAATTGGAGAGAAAATTTTCGAAACATTTGGTTCGCTTCTGGTTTGTTTATTTAAATGCATAAACATTGGTACAAGAAATTACCAAATATATATACTCCACACAAACTATTTAATTTGTCTGAGGGCTGGAATGCTGCTTGGGCGATTCTGGTTACCAAAGCAGTTCCAAAACCACGTCCAGCTGTTTGAGCATAAAGGTCGGCTCTAAAAATTCTTAATTGTCATGCCTCCCGCGAATATTGATAAAGTACAATTGCACTAGAAATATTGTCGTCCTCTTTTTCATCTACATTTGTAGACGACAACCTAAAAGCAGCACTTGACTCTGTAGACCGCGAGATTCTGTGGCAGTGTATGTCATTAGAAGGCGTACCCCAGAAGCACCCAAACCTTGTGAAGGCTTTTTACTCGAACACCATTAGTCCAGTCAGAGCTTATGGTCAACTGCCATCTGATTTTGCAACCTCAAGTGGTATCCGTCAAGGCTGACCATTTTTGTTCAGCTTCATCATAGACATAATGATAGAAATAATGCTCTCGTCGACTGAATTCTCGTGCATTGATCTACCAGTAGGTCCACTTATCGAATTAGAATACGCAGTTGATATAGTCATGTTTCGTGGAGACTCTGATAAAATGCAGTCTTTTGGTGGCTCTGAGCAACAATACTAGAATGTTTGGGATGCGCTTCTCTCCTTCTAAATGCAAATTGTTGCTCCAGGACTAGTCTGCATCAACACCTAAACTAAAGATAGGGAGTGAAGTAGTCGAACGCGTTGACAACCTCACTTATCTTGGAAGTCTGATCAGCCATAATGGGTTCGTGTCTGACGAAATCTCAGCACGGATTCGGAAAGCTCCTTCGGCTTTTGCCAACAGACGTCACCTATGGCGAATGCGAGATATCCGTCTATCAATTAAGAGACAAGTATACTGCGCGACAGTTCGTTCTATTCTGCTTTACGGCTGCGAAACGTGACCATTAAGAGTTGAAGATACACGTAATCTACTAGTATTTGACCACAGATGCCTTAGAAATATTGCTCGCATCTGCGGGGATCACCGGGTAAGCAATAGTGAAGCTAGACGCAGAGTATTACGGAGTGATGGTAAATCAGTTGATGAGGTTGTGAATCTTCATCGACTGAGATGGTTGGGTTATGTATACGTGAACACCGATTACCACGACGCGCATGCTGACTAGTGTAGGGGCGGCCAAACCAAAACGTGGCATCAGTGCTTGAAGTCACTAACTTCTAGTCTTAGTCATGTCTGTAGATGCAGACCACTTGGTTGGGGTCCGTGTGACTATCGTAACCAATGGTTGGAGACTCTTGGTGACATGGCTCAGAATGGATCACAATAGCGTATACAATAGTGTATACACTCTTTGTCCTCTCGTAAACTGTGAGATTAAAATTGCTTTATATCTTTCTTTTTACCAACTAACTCTTTCTTCCTGTACTATATCCTTATATGCAATCTTTCTTTTATATATTACCACCATTGAATTTACTACTTCTATGAATCCAGTGTTCATCTTGATGTGCTAATGAGGTATGGCAACTTCGACCGATGCATATTTGTCCCTGACCTTACTTTGTAGCTGACTGACTGTAGAGGCAAGCAAGTGCATTGAACTACTAAGGATTGCTTTAGGTTTTACTATTCGCCAATTAAATGTGAGTAATGAAAAACTTAGAGTTGACTAGAGCAGCTTTACTACTCTAGATTATATTACAAATATGTTCAAAATTCCTAATCATTGGTAGGCTATGAATGACTTTAGGATTTTACGTTATGAAAAACTAAATATCACCCAATATCATTTAAGGCTTTCTTCGTAGATCATTTAAAAGCTAGTAAAGATTTTAAACCGAAAGGAGATATTCTTGATAGTATGCACATCACGAACGGACCGCCTTTTAAGCTAAAATTTGTGTAAGTAATTTTTCAACACACTATTAATTGTGATTTGATCTTCCCTACGCCGCGATATTGTATCCGGTGAAACCAGTAACCTACAGTGAATTCATCTTCTCCCGACCCTCCAATTAAAACATCAGCTGATTACCCTGTTTTGGACTGAGTCGAGCACTTGAATCTTTGTTCAGATACTAGTAATACTATCTAACTACCAACGGAATTCGGGGTTTCGAACCTACAACCTAGTGCTTGAGTTGAGCACTATTAACCACCATTGTGATATCCAATTATCTAAAGTAGCTCACTTCTTTTAGCACTCTTACTCCAATGACAAGTGATTTTTGCCTCTCTATAACAAAAAAAACACATTGTTCTCACCACATTATTGTTGATAAATATCCGTTAAGTTATCGCTGACTACGCGTTAGTATGGTAAAGCAGTCTTTGAATTTTTTTTTAACAATACACAGGACTTCTCCATTGCATGAATTTAGGGTTTTTTTGGTACAGTTTTGTTTTGTATGTCAGTTGTTTACCTTTAGGTTCAACATATATGGGGCGGTGGCTTAGTGATTAACAGATCCTGCTCACAACTAGTAGGTTTTGTATTCAACTCTACTTTAATTTATGTAGACGTATAATATTTATAACCTTCATACCTAAGGCATGACTAGACCGAGTACGAAATCTGTGCCTGGCAAATGATTCTTTAATAAGATATAGATAAAATGTCCCACAAGTTTTGTTTATCTGATGAATGAACATGTAAAACCAAAGTTAGACTACTAAGTTAGCAAGTCAAGTGCAACTAGTTTAACGGTAACAGGTTCATCATGATTCTGTGCGATTTACCAATGGCATGTGCCCTTTCCTCGTTTAAAATAACTGAATACAGTGAATATATAATTTACTCTATAAATTTGGAATAAATAACTGCAAGTGCTCAGTTTTCATTATAAAAATATAAAATCAGTATATTAAGAAGTCTTCTCGGCCTATGTA